AGGCCTCCTTAGGAGCACTTGGGCAGAGTTTAACCAGGTCGAAGCTTGACTGGAGGGCGACCAAGATAAATACTTTCCTAATCTGGCATCCTCCCTGGTGATCAGACCAGCTTGCTGTTGCTGGAGCTAGTTCTTTGCCTCGACCGTGTGCTGCACTACCTGTGGGCCAAGCCAACCCATGGATCATGCCACGAGAGCTTGAGGCTCCTTGGAGACCTGCTCTGCTCTGCTGTGTTCATTTCTTGACTTCGCTATCCCATGGGGTCTGCTTCGCTAAGCTCAGTGATACTGACTGTTGCTGTTCCACCCTGCTGTCTGATGACTGCAGGCAGACGCTGCCTGTCTTGCCCAAGGGAAGACTATGATTTCTGCTTCCTTGACTTGGACTGGCAGTCCTCATGGGTTGAAGGGCCTTCAGTGTATTAATTGTTCCACAAAAGTGAGTTGAACTGAGACCTCTGTACTGCTGTGTGGACTAATTAGCTGTTATATTCCTTCTCACTGTATAAATCCCTCTCTCTCTCTCTCTCTCTCTCTCTATATATATATATATATATATATATATATACACATTATATATATAAATATACTATATATAAGTGTCCTGGTTTTGTTTCTCTAGAGAACCCTGTCTCACACACTCATAAAACAAACATGTGGAACACAATTCTCTTCCCACACACAGGGTCACCATGAGTTGGCACTGACTAGAAGGCAACTGGTTGTAATGGTTTCACAGAGTAAACTCACGATGGTTACACTGTCCTTGAAGGTCCTTCTGTGCTGGAAGGGTAGTGAAGGGGAGAGAAGCAACCCAGAAAAAAGAGCAAGAAGCCACAGGCTGGAAGGAGAAAGGCACGAGGGACAGTACTGCAACCCAGGGGCCAAGGTTACCAGTGGAAGCTGGGACAGAAAGAAGACAGCCACCATCACCCCTCCCTTAGTTCCCTCTTCTCCCCTGCCAGAGGAAGAACGGAACCCCCAAGTGTCCTGAGAGCTCTCCTGTTTCTCCTCTTCCTAGGGAGCAAGCCTCTGACTACCCTGAGGCTCTGACATGGGGCAGGAGCTGTTTGCAAGTGACCTAAATGACAGAGCTACCCAGTCCTTGAGTTAGCCATTCAACTTGGAAGCTACCTGACAGAGCAATCTCTAATTCGGAAACACAAGGACCCCGGTGGCTAGTAGCTACATGTTGGGCTTGGTCAGCAGTTCGAAACTACTGGCTGCTCTGCAGCAGATAGACAGGGCTTTCTGCCTCTGCAAAGAGTTAGTCTCACAGGGGAAGTTCTACCCTGTCCTACAGGGTGGCTCTGAGTCAGTGTGGACTTGATGGCAGCGAGTTGGAGCACGGAAACACAGGCTAAGGGATCAGTTCCCCATATGAGAAAGTGCAGACTAGGTCAGGGGTAAACATTCCACTAAAGGTGCTATGTGAGATGTACCCTTACTTACGCAGACTGAGGCTGAGAGAGTGGGGGTCGAGGGGGGAAGATGAGCTTGCATGAAGAATGACCGGATGAAGATTGCACATTCATTCTTTGCAGGACAGATGCTAAATAGATGGATCCCCAAGGACACGCCTGAGAGGGGTCTGAGTGGTGGCAAGGGCTCGCACCCTTGGCTGCTCACCCAAAAGGTGGAGCCCGCATATGAGGTGCCTCAAGAAGAAAGTTCTGGTGATCTGCTTCTGAAAAATCAGCCGTTGGCAACTCTACTGGGCACAGTTCTGCTTGGAATCGACTCTGTAGGCAACTGGCTTAAAAGCTTGGAAGGGGCAGGAGGCACGGGAGCAAATCTGAGACAGATGTGGAACAGAAGGACCCTTGGAAAGAAGCCCCTCAGAGCAGTGCAGCCCTGGCAGGATTCTCCTTCTAGTTTGCGAGACCACAAGACCTGGATGTGAAGTCTGCTTCTGTCTCTAATTGGCTATGTGCACTTGGTAAAGAATACAATTTCTTTGACCCTGGTGTTCTCATCTACAAAATGTAGACAACATCAGTACCCCTTTCACCGGACTGTCCAGATTAAGGGAGGTGACAGATATAGAAAACAGATGTCACTACCTTGATTAGACTCCTCAGAAATGCCCCCTTGTTTTTCGTGTAAGTTCTAAACTCTGCAGGCAGGCAAATAAGGCTTTTTAGGCTCTTGTTTCTGCTGACTTCTTTCATTCCATTTATCATCATTCCCCACCCTTGCAACTTCACAGAGGGAAGCACTTATTCACAGGACTTTCCTCTGTGACCTGAGCATACCATTCTAGACATACACCCTCTGGCTAATTCCTGCTTTTTCCTCCAAAGCACATTTCAGCATGCAAACTCTTGCCAGAGCTTTCCTTAACCCATCCTTGCCCACCTCTCCTGTGGGTGATGTGCCCCTTCCTCTGTGTTACAGGTGCATCTAATCACATGTAGCACGCTTGGCAGTTGATTTGAATCACAGGTTTGTTCTGACACATGGCAGTTCCTGTGGGGCAGAGCTAGGCTTCCTATTGCACGTCCAGCTCCTGATACATACCCTGTTTCCCCGAAAATAAGACAGTATCTTATATATATATTAATTTTTGCTCCCAAAGACGCGCTAGGTCTTATTTTCAGGGGATAGCTTATTTTTCCATGAAGAATACAGTACACATTTATTGTTTATTATTTTATTAAAAGAGATCTCACACTTCCTGTCTGCTCCAGCTGCGCTGTGGCCAACAGTGAGCTGTGCCCGCTGCTATGGTCGTGTCCAGAGTTACGGTAGCTTGGGGGGTAGGGGGGAGCACTGTTTTCGGGGAGGTCTTATTTTCGGGGGATGCCTTATATTTCAGCGAGAGGCAAAACTGTAAGTAGATCTTATTTTTCTAGGGATGTCTTACTTTTGGGGAAACATGGTAGTAGACTTCAGGAGACGGCAGTTGAATGAATGAATGGATGGATGGAGGTACAAACTTAAGAAGATGATGATGATAAGTCACACTTTCCATACTTCTTTAAAAACTATTTAACTCTGCTGTCTTAAAAGAAGACCCATGGGCCTTCCTTTCTAACCCAATATTCTCCTGGGTTGCCTTCCTCTGTGTACCAAATCAAACTCACTGCCATTGAGTCATTGCTAACTCATGACTCACAGTGACCTTATAGGGCAAGGTGGAACTGCCCCTGTGAGTTTGCTGTGTAATTCCTAATGGGAGTAGAATGCAAGGAGCAGCTTTAGCAGTCCAATGCATAACCTGCCCCACCAAGGCTCCTTCCTCTGTATAAGGATATACTAAAAGGTTAAATGTTGTTTAGTCCTGAAAGAATCTCTATTCCATTAACCTTGTTTGTTTCTAAACAGTTTTAATTGTTAGGAGGCTCTGTGACCTTCTGACCTAAAGCTGAAGTCATAGTAACTGCTGGGATAACAGGACAAGGTAACCCCATGATTTTTGATGACCTCAAGATATCCATTAGGAACTTCCCTATCCTCCTCCCCACTAACTGGTTCCTCCTCTTATCTCTGTGAATTGTACCACCATCTCTCAGGTGTGTACGTGGGAAACCCAGAAGTCATTCCAGATTCTGCTCTCTTCCCTACCTCCTTCCACCGTAAGTGGTCACAGTCTGCAGACGGAGTATACCTGGGATCTCTACTTACTTACTTCCATCTCCATAACTACTACGGAGGTCGAGGCTAACTTTCTCCAGCACTAGTACATTGGCCATTTAATTGGTGTCTCTGGCCACTTAATTGGTATTTACCACGATGTATTCATCCTACTGCAGCCTGGAAATGCAAATCTCGCCTTACTGTCTTTTAAAATTCTCTGGGGGAGATATACTTCATAAAGTCTCATCTTTTATCTCCCTGCTTTTCTGGCTTCAGCTCCTACCACCATTGCCACCTCGCAGGGAAACTCTCACTTCCTGGATCTACGAGTCTGGAAAGCACTCCTCCAGCTACTGACTTGAACAACTTCTGCTCATGACCTAGGGTTTGGCTCACATGTCACAGAACACTCTTCAGAAAACGTTCACAGCCTCATCTCATAATCTAGACTTTAGATTCTAGCGTTTAGTGGGAATCGACTCGGTGACAGTAAGTTTGGAGGTGGAAGAAAGGCCTGGTGATCTGTTTCCATAAACATCACAGGCAAGAAAACCCTATGGCCAAATTTCACTCTGTGCCACATACAGTCGCCTCGAAATCAACTCCACTGCAGTGGGCTCAGTTCAGTTGGCGTCAGACCGTGCAGCTCACAGGCAATGGTGTCAGGCTAGCAGGGTTTGCATCTACCTTGGCCATTCACTAGCTGGGTGACCTAGGGCAAGTGCGTCTGCTCTCTTTACCGTGGAGTAATATTTCATCAGTCTATTGTGAGAATTAAGTGTGCTGATGTAAGGCGCCTGACAGCGTTAACTCTTATTCTAGCATATTCCAGCACTGAAAACGAAAGCTGGACCCCCGCAGCCCTTAGGTATTGTGTTTGAGTTTCGTTTTAAGGCATACTTAATCTTTGTTTCCTCCTTGGACCAGGCAATTGTAACAAATCGGGAGACGCGACGGTACCCAAGCGCGTCACGACTCACAGTCCCCGAACTCGTCGCCTCCTAACGCCCCCAGGTGGCTTTGCAAAGCTCTCTGCAGCAAAAGCGGAGGGAACGAGGGCACACCATTCAAACACCGGGGGGGGGTCTTTCCTAAGCACTGTCCCGTTTTTATAAGGTCCCTCCTCTGCCGCTTTCTAACTTCCAACTCGATCAAACTCAATGAGGTGCGAAAGAGGATGGCAATTAAGACAGCGCGAGGAGGCTCGGATTCCTCCCCCGTCCTAGGAGCCGCATTGGTACGTCCTCTTCTCAATTCCCTCTCAATAATGGTACGGCTCGCGGAGGGGAGACTCGAGGCGGAGTCGGAGTCCTCAGTGTTCGGAGGTGGATACGAGCACAGCCGTCTCCCCTGCTACCTCGGCGCTGTGGTCCCGCCTACCGCCCTCCTATTGGCTGCCGGGGCCCCGCAGTCGGGCTCCGCCCGCCGCGCCGCCAGGCTCTCGTATTCCTTGTTCTCGGCGGGCTCCGTGAGCTTCGCGCCGCGGCCGTTAGTCATGTCGGGTAGGTGATTCGTCAGTGAGCAGCGGCAGCGGCGAGAAGGGGCCCGGTGGGGTTGAGTCTTTTTCCCGCCCTCCGGAGGGCCCCGAGGGAAAGCCCCCGGCCCTGAGGGAGGCTTGGGTGGGGGGGCGGCCGCCGCCGCCATGTTGGACTGGAGGGACGCGCGATCCCAACGCTCACGGTCTCCAGATCCCGGCGGGAGCGCTCGGGGCCCCTTCTCTTGGCCCGGCCCGTGGCACCGGAGCGGCTCTCGGGGGAGGGTTGTGTGAGTCGGGGGCGGAGGCCGACGACGCCATCGTGGGGGCGGGGGAGGGGGGGAGCCGTGATAAAGCCTCAGCGTGGGAGCTTCGGGGGCTTCAGGTTCTCCGCTCCGCCTCCGGTCTGTCAGCGAGGCCTCGGGCCAGTCGTCTCATCGCCTCGTCCCTCTGTGTCCCCACGCGTGAAGTGGAGCTGGCCCTTCCCGACGCACCCATTCATCAGGTGGGGGCCTCGACGCTCTGGAAGCCCTCTCAGAGGACGTTGCTTTGTGCGAAATCGTACTTCTGAGTTACTCCCTGGGCTCCAGCCGACTGGATTCGAGTGGTGGGGGGGCGGGGGCGGGGTGTGTATCCAATTCAGCTTCCTGTTCACGTGCACGCCCGGGCCGCCGTCCCCCGCTTCCAGTTTACGGAGCGGGAAAGTGAGCCTTTTCTATTATTGATAGGCCGCCGCAGGTGCACGGGGTAGTTCCCTTGCCACTCGCAGGCCACGACACATTGAGCTAGGCTGGGGCCAGCCGTTGTGTAAGAGAACAGCCCTGGCTTCTGGACGCTAGTTGAGATCCTGCTTAAACAAAAGTCTGGAACGTGCCTGCCTGGGTCATAGCGGCCTTAGCCCAGCACACGAATCGAACACCTTCGATTGTGGGGCGGTTTTACGCCACACACAGGCTGCCAGAAGCCAGGTACCTACCTGCGTGGAAGACACCATCGTGAGTTGAGATGCCACTTACAGGTGGAAAAACGACATCACCCGGAAGCCTTACAGTTGGGGGGAGAGTATGTCTTCTGTCTGCTGGCAGAATCACGTGTTTTTTCATTTAAAGGGTGCACCTGTACGTTTTCTTTTCTTTTTTTTTTACAAAGTGCATTTAAAAATTAGCAATCCAGTCTCGGATAAGGATGGAAAGGTATGGTAAAACTGCAGTCTGAGGAGTCCAAGTGAGCAAGAATGATTGGAGAGAAGATGATATACAAGATACATTCTTTAGATTAATGTTAATGTAAGGAACCAGACTATTGCTCCCTTGGGAGCCCACCTATCCGGTGTAAGAAGCTATATCCCACTGCCATCAAGTCAATTCTGACTCATTTCTGAGCCTGGAAATCTCTGTCAGGGTAAATGGCCTCCGATTTCTCCTGTGGAACAGCTAGTGGATTTGAACCCCCAGCCCTGTGGCCAGCAGTACAGCACTTGCTTGACAGCACCATCAGGGCTCCTAAGAGACTGTAGTTCCACCGAATTTACCTCTGATTAATCCTTGCTCCTATGAGGATTAATTTTCCTTACCCCGGTATAGTAGTACAACACCTTTTATTACCCAAACTAAACCAAACTCACTGTCATCGGAGTTAATTTGACTCTTAGCTTCCCTGTAGGACTGAGTAGAATTGGCCCTGTGGATTTCCAGGACTAAATCTTTACAAAGTCCTGGGAGAAAGAGGAGTAGAAAGCTTCTCTCTCCCTGGAGTAGCTGATGACTTTGAACGGCTGACCCTGTGGTTACTGCCCAGCATGTAACCCACTACACTGCCAGAGCTCCGCACTGTTTAAAAATTTGTACATACTTTGGAATGAAACCTGGTAAACCTCATAGAAGTAACGTTCTCAGGAGAATGTTCAAAAACAAAACATGTTTCATGAAGAAATTCACCAAGTGTCAGTGGTGGATTTAATAACTGGTTATTAAAACACTTTTAGCCTGTTTTGATTTTTAATATGATTGGAATCCACCAGCTGCTCCATGGGAGAATGATGAGGCAGTTAGTTTGCTTCTGTACAGACTACAGCCTTAGAAGCTCAGTAGAGCAGTTCTGTGCATACAGTCACTGAGTGAGAATCAGCTAGATGGCAGTGTATTTGATTGGTTTTATTCTGTGAGTTGGTTTACCCATTAGTATCTCGGTCTTTAAATTACCACACCAGATAGTAGTTATCTTGTAATTTGAGCTTAAAAAAAAAAATTGCAGTAGACTTTTCATGTGTAAAAAGAAATACTAATTTTTGTTTGTTTCCAAATTAACATTCATGTTATTAAAGCTGGAATCTTTACATTTTGTTTAGTCTGGTTCTACTATGCATTTTGTAATATGTGTAAAAATGTTATTTTTGCCTGTACAGTGCTTTTGTTTGGTGAATGTTTAATTAAATTAATAAATTTAACAGTAAATTCTTTAATTAATACCATTAACAAGCTTAGTAAAAGTTCTTTAAACATTCCATACTACATTTATAAATTTAATGTCAAACTGACCCACATTCCCAAAACCTGACAGTTATTGTATGACTTAAGTAATTATACATAAATCAAAATTGTAAATATAGTAAATCAGACTTTTAGACAGTCAAATATTGTCTACCAAGGTGAATTATCGAACACCTTTCAAATTAAAATCACAAAAACAAAATCATCACTTAAACAAAACTCACCAAGTGAAGATGCTTTTCATTCAAAGACGGCAGGCTAAGGTAACTGGAAAAATCCATCACAAACACCTAAAAATGGCAAGAAGTTACAACAAGGCAGGGAATGCCTCAGGTGACAAAAATACAGTAGGAGGCAGCATGCTAAGCATGGTGACCAGGCCTGAAAAGAGGACGTAGAGACTCAGGTTTTGATGCCCAATGACTGTAGGGCCAGGAGATATGGATGCCCTGAGACCATTACAACATGGTAATGGGAACAAATCCTTACGTAGCACCTGCATGTTTGAAGTTACTGTACCTTTAGTCAAAAAATGCACTAGGAAAAACAAAAACCCAAAGACTTCATATCACCACAAGAAGTAACAAGGAAGTCTTAAAAGAAAAAAGTTGTAGAAAGAAAATGTTTTGAAAGTGATGATGGCAACATATGGACAAATGTGCTTGATAGAATTGATGTACAGATTGTTATAAGAGCTGTAAGAGCCCCCAATAAAATGATTTATTAAAATAAAGTTTTTCCTGAACCTATACTTCATAAAATTGAATGTGAATTTAGGTTACTTACGCCGTCCAGCAAACATTAAAGCTATGAAAATAATCTAAAATTTGATCTGGGCTGGTACTGCTCTTGGGTTTCTGGAAGAAATGAATGAAAAACCTTTTCTGAGGAAGTTCTTACAACCTTGGACACAAGAATATCATTAAAAAAATGAACTCGACAAAAGATGTTCATGGTAAGGCTTTCTACACCCGTAAGGAGTTAGTCTCTGAAACCCACAGGAGCAGTGTTCACCTGTCCTATAGGACTGCTATAGGTACCGACTTTGGAAGCGAATGAGTTAGGAATCAGTTTACCAAGATGAAAATGACAAAGAGAATTGGAACCCCCAGTAGATAATTCTAAAGAGAATATTTGCCTAAAAATGAAAAGGCCTGAGAGAAGGAATCAGCCTTAAAACTTGATTTTGTTTTAAGAAAACTACCTGGATTTGAAAAAGAACCAATAATAACATAAAATTAGAAAAAGTGGGTAAGTTGATTTTACAGCAGATAGACTTAGTAGAAGTAAGTGAAGCAGAAGCTATGTGATCTAATTTTCCAGAGTCAATTCAGAAAGATTAAGACATGGGGAATATTGGAAAGTCCTGTCACTTAATGAGTTCCAGAAGGACAAATTGGCAGCGAAATCATTAGTCAAAGAGGCAGGTGAGAGTTTTCTAGTTATTGAAGTATGAATCATTTGAATCAAGCACTAGTCCCAACAAATGTAATTTATAAGATGATGCGAAACTAGAGTGTAATATACCAATAACATGTTAAAGAGAAAGGGATGAACACATGTCTCAATTATAAGTAGCCAGATAAATGATCTTCAGTATTTAGAAAGTAAATATTGATCTGGAATTATATATCTAGACACTACATATGTGATGCAAAAAGACTACGACTTGGGCTTTACTGAAAGAACCACTAAAAGAAAGGGAATATAAAAACAATATAGGGGAAGGAAATAGGTAAATGAGGTACTTACTGCATAGAACAATGAAGATTAAAAAAGTGAATTTAGAGGTTAAAAAAGGTGGAACCAAATTAATAGGGAAGGACGTGATTGGAAGGTTAAAAGTAGTTCTGAACTTTGTTAATGCTTTTTAAAGATAGAGTATAATCATTTTTATGACAAAGGAGCAAAAATTGAATGTATAACTTTAAAAGTTGGAAGAGTGAGTAAAGAAATTCCAACAGAAAGCAGGAAAAACATTGTAAGTGAAAAGTCCCTTCGAAGGAGATAGAAATAAAAGTAAAGGCGAAAGCACTGAACTCGGGTTTTCACATTGGGGATATCTCATGCCGCGCACAGTGACAAAAACTTCACAGTATGATGGAGAAAGATCACCAGGAATACGGACCCAGAGGAGGATTGTTTTTCAGTTATGTTACCAGTCACAGTTTGGTCGGTTAGACGGCTCTTTCTAAGCACCTAGGCGACATTTTTAAGAGTACAGCGAAACCAGTTAGAGATAAAACTCTTACCGGACTACCTTGTTTTTCCTTTTGCGAGCCTTTGACAGTTTTAAAGTTGGCAAGCTGAAGGAGTCAAATTCTCAGTTCTGGAGGACTGGTTTAGGTGGTGGTTGTGTACTGTCAGTTGGTTCCAACTGAACTCCCCCATAGTGTAGTCTAGGCTGAAAAATCTGTGGAAATATTGCCAGTCTTTTCTCCCATGATGCTGCTTAGATGAGTTCGAACCTGGGGCCTTTTGGTTAGCAGAAGAGCCCTTAATCATTGTGCTGCTAGAGCTCTTTAAGAACCCTTGTACCTGCATCAGATTTGAGATAATCACTTGTCCTAGGTGTTTCTAGGTTAGTTTTACCTAAGTTGAAGGTATCCGGATGCTCCTGGTGGTATAATGAATGAATTTGAACCCACCAGCAGCTCCTGTAAAGATTTACAGTCTTGGGAACCCCCAGGAGCAGGTCTAGTCTATCCTGTAGGGGCACCACTGCCTCAGAATCACCACCAGGGCAGTGGGTTGGTTGGTTTTTGGAAAAGGGAATTTTGCAGATTGTGTAGATGGCTGCAGTTGGGAAAACTGGCATCTATGCTCCTGCTTTTAGGTTCACCTCTGGTATCTTAAGTTTTATCCTTCAGCAGTCCCTCCCAAGTGCTTTCTGTTTCTAAGTTGGTGAATATAATTTTTTTTTTAATTTGATGGATGCAACTAATCTATGGTCTAAACTCAGCATCTTTTTCAAATTATGTTAGTTACAGTTCTGAAGTCATTTTATTGAACACGGCAGTGTACACAGTTGTTCCTTCTTTTTGGGTCGCTTTTATGCCTTCCTCATAGGAATAGTACCTTGTCTCAGTTTTATCTCAAAATTAAGAACTTGTCTTAAATACTCTGTCTGAATGGAGAATTTTTTTATTATACTGCAGAAAAGTGCCAAATACACCACTGGCAATGTTCTTGTTGCCTTAAATGAATAAAAAGTCACTGACTTAATTTATCTTTGTTGGGCTTTCAGAACTATCTACAGCATATTGTTTCTGATAGGATGAGGAGGCTGGTTCTACTGGTCAGCAGTTTGAGGCTCAGAGGCATTCATTTTGTATAACTGCAGGAGTACTTCGTATGAAAGTACTCATCATGAATAAATAGATCTCATTTACATAAGTCTAAGAAGGTAGAACATTAAAAATTGATATGACTAGCATTTTGAATTGTTGCAAATCATTGTTTACATTAGTTCTTTTATTTTTTTATGCATACAGCAATCACTTTTATATCTTCATTGATAGTTTTTATTGCGCAAATGGACTGTAGAAGTTGGCATTGCTGACTTTGCGCATGTCCCTGAAAACTTAGTAAAATTAAACAGCTCACTCTGCTTTCACCAATTCTTTGGAAATCTCAGTGGCATTCTGTCAATCAAAGCAGTCCAGTGTAGAGGAATTGCTTGGGCTGGGTCTGGAAGTGTGCAAGGAAATGTAATTCTGGAATTTATCTTGTTATACTTGTCTTTCATTCCCTGGTTCTGGGTAGTTTGGCTTTTTTGGGGGGTAGACATTAACTTTAGGGGTACATTCTGGGTAGTCTTAATTTTTACATATAAAGATCATACACCTTGAGCTTTGGAATTTTTCTTAAAAAGATGGATTTCACTAATTGTTTTCACAGTTCATTTAGTTCTTAGGATTCTTGGCACATTTGTACTCCTTAAGTTTAATTACTGTAAATGGCATAAACTACAGATGTTTCTGTAGTTTTTAAGTTCTTGGTGTGTCTCTAAATTTTGTGACATTTTCTTGCGTTTCATGTAGAAGAGGTAAAAGATAGCCTTTGGGGAAGTCTAATTTTAAATAAGATTAAAAATTATTTTTATGTGTTTTAGATTCTGGAAGTTACGGTCAGTCTGGGGGTGAGCAGCAAAGGTAATGTATAAACATTTTAATACCATTAATGGGTAGAGCTGAAAAAAGGTGAATTTAGTTCCTCTTTCCTCTAGACTTGGTGTCTGGATGCCTTATGAGAGAGTAGTTCTTAACGGAGAAAGCAGCTGGTCCATATAAATGTGCTGAAGTTTTTCTCTTTTTGAAAGCTGCATCAATAAATATAGGTTCTCCCTAGAGATTAAAAAAATCTTGTAAGTAATGTAAAGCTTGTTTTCTTTAAGAGACTCCTTAGAAGAAATAAAAGTATAAAATCAATTTAGGTAGTTGAGCTATAACAGATTCTTTTAAAAAGTTTCATATTTTCGTGGGGTATAAGGTGCTAATGTGCTTTAGAGCAGGTTTTTTAAAGCACTATAAATAGAAATATTTAGCATCTTTAGGAAAATTTCACCATTCTCACAGTAAAAATTGTGCTTCTTAATAGAAATTTAGCCTTTATCTAATGGATATGTTTTATAACTCAATGGCAAGTATTCAGAATATAGCACCTTAAATAACCTGTTTTAAGATTTTTAAGTTTAATGAAAACAAAATTGATTTCACTGTTTTTATTCTCATATACTAGTGCTAACCATAGTAGGCATCTATCAAATGTGTTCATTGAAATAAATTGTTTAAAGTAATTCTTGTAATGTCCTATGACTAAAATAATAAATTTTATTTTATCTTACTTTTTGCACATAAATGGCTTATTTTTATTCGGGTTTTAGACCATCATGGTATATATCCAGAAAGTTTGTTTCTAATTTAAAACATGCTTGCTATAAAAAAAGAAAAATCAAGTCTTAGATGCGTTTATTCATTCAGTTAGTAAATACTTCTAATTGAACTATGTGCCAGGCTCTGCTGCAACACTGGGAATACAATATAATTCCATTCTATAAATACTTGGTGTATATACCTGTGATTACTAAGGCATTAAACTGGACTTTTACAATCAGAATGCCTAGACCAGAGGATGTACACTGGTACAGATAGGAACTGAAAATACAGGGAATCCAGGGTGGACGAGCCCTACAGGACCAGTGGTGTGAGTGGCGAAACAGGGAGGGTAAAGGGAGAATGGGTAGGAAAGAGGGAACTGATTACAAGGAACTACATGTGACCTCCTTCCTGGGGGACAAACAACCAAAAAGTGGGTGAAGGGAGACGTCGGACAGGGCAAGATATGACAAAATATCCATTTATAAACTATCAAGGGCTCATTACGGAGGGGGGAGCGGGGAGGGAGGGGAAAAATGAGGACCTAATGCCGGGGGTTTAAGTGGAGAGAAAATGTTTTGAGAATGATGTACAAATGCGCTGTACATAATTGATGTGTGTATGGATTGCGATAACAGTTGTATGAGCCCCTAATAAAATGTTAAAAAAAATTAAAATCAGAATGCCTTTTATAGGAAATTAAAGACAGATGTAACTAAGGGTAGATGATGTAAGTAATTTGTCAAAATTGGATGCTAAATTGATTAAAGTGTTAACTTGAAGTCACTATTTTTCTGCTTTAGATATTTTCTTATGGGCTCGGGCGTGTTGTAAGCAAAATTCTCTTGGGATTTTTCTAGTTCAAGTGTTTTATTTTTAGGGAGTTGCTAACAGAAAACTTGGTATTTGGCATTCACAGGGTCTGGAAATGACTTCTTATTTCTCTAATAGTCATCTTTCAATTTGTTCTTTGAGACAGATTGATAATAATTTAGAAAAGAAGGTTGTATATGAGTAGAAAGTTGCAAATGAAGATAGAATTTTTAATTGATGTTCTCAAATTATTACAGACTTCTTTAAAGTATTGCATACATCTTTTTTTTTTCTTTTTTTTTTTGCATACATCTTTTACAGTTACTCTTCCTATGGAAATCAAGGCAACCAAGGATATGGACAAACATCACAAGTAGGTTGAAATAGAAATTAACCATCATTAGTATTTATTTTTATTTTAAGTAGGTGATGAAATTTGAGTATTTACCTAAATTTCAGAGCTATTCTGGCTATGGGCAAACGACTGATTCCTCATATGGACAGAACTATGGCGGCTACTCCAGTTATGGACAAAGCCAATCAGGTTGGACTGGTTTGTTAAATTTGCTATTTTGGAGATTTAAAAATCAGAACCCTCACTAAATGATTTACCCATCCAATCTTTAGGTTATTCACAGTCCTACGGTGGTTATGAGAATCAAAAGCAGAGCTCTTATGGCCAGCAATCTTATAATAACCAGGGACAGCAAAACTCGGAATCATCAGGAGGGTAAGGAAATAGTCCAAAGTGTGGACATTGTGTTGGACAGTGGAAATGACACTTTAGGTATTAAACAGTCTTCACCAGCAAACTTCCTTTAGTTTTTAGAATAAGTTTTGATAGTATACAGGTTTTACAATTTTATGTGTGGGGAATCTGCAAATTGACACAATATTGTAATTTGATTTTTATAATTTGTGTCTTGTAAAATTGTTTAGCTGTAAATGCACACACATGACAAATGTTAGATTTGCACATGGTCTTTTTTGGACATGTTCTATCCGATTAAATAAAAATTTGTAAGCTGAAACAGTGTATACCCTTTTCTTTTTTAATAGGTTTATTGGGATATGACTCATATATCATACAATTAGTAGTTCAGTCGCATCAAGAAGAATTGTACAGTCATCACCTTAATCAGCTTTAGAACATTTTCCTCAATCTTGTATTCATCATTATTAGCGCCCCATTTCTTTCCAACCTCCCTTACCATAACCCTGAGAAACCATTGATCCAGTTATTGTCTCTGTGGATCTACCTATTCTGGATTTCATAGTGCACACCTTTTTTTTGTGTGTGTGTGTACACCTTTTTATTTCAATTTTATTTTTGAACTATTTGGTTATGTTTTTTAGGGACAAAACCCAAAATGCCAAAACCTCTTCCTTCATATATGTCAGATCCCTTAAAATGTGTTTCAGTAATACAGCTGGGTGAATGTTTACAAAGTATAAATTCTGTAATTCCCCCCAGATTTCAAAAGCCTATACTTAATTCATTAAAAAAAATCATTTTATTGGGGGCTCATACAATTCTTACCACAATCTATACATCATTTGAATCAGGCATGTTTGTACATTTGCTGCCTTTATTCTTTTCTAGACATTTACTTTCTATTGAGTCTTTGGTATTAGCTCCCCCCACTTCCCCCTCTATACTTAGTTAGTTTTGATAAGATCAATTTAACTTGTTTTTTATCACCTGAATTTTTAAACTACCTTTTACCTTTTATGAAATACTTTAGTGTTTCTTAACCTAATTAATCCTCAGATACCACTTTGAGATAGTTTTAGTAATTTTTCCTCATTTTATGAAGTAAAGAAAGGTTCACTTTATTTTATTTTGCTCATTTTGTGGCTTAGGTGAAAGTTTAAAGAGCAAATTCGTTTCCCACTCAGTATTTCCTGCACATTTTTATTTTAAGACATTGTAGTGTCCTCAGTGGAACAGCACTCCTAATCACTTCTTCCTTGAGTTCCCCATTTCCACTTGTCCTTACTGCCTTTTCCTAAAAAAGCGTCACTTTCACTTTAAAGAGAATTGTTTTGGTCAGTAGGTTTCTGAAAACATGACAAACAAATGCCCGGAGATTGGGCTTTGACAGCTATTTCAAAGTGAAATATGCCAAATATACCATTGTGATGTGCCTAAGGACAAATGGACATTTGTCATTACTGATCATTGTTCGATTGTTTTGATGCAGAATAAAAATATGGATAAAATAAAATTGGTCATTTAATGAGGAAGTCAATTCCATAGTCTTCTAATTCTTGAGTTCTTAGAAATGAGACTTAGTAAGCAGATCATTGAAGAAACTAAAAACAACAAAAAAGATTAAATTATGTGTGCAAATGGCAACTTTTATTTTTCCCCAATTAGGAGTCCTTTTTAGTTCCTCTTAAATATTTTAAGTAAGCATGAGAACTCATCCAGTTAAATTGCCATTCAACATTCCCTCCTTGGGAGCAGGTAATTAATTTAGACATGTTGCTCAGAATATGCATAGGATTTCTTTTTGAATTTCAAGAAATAGAGCAATCTCATTACCTGATCAGCTCCTTTTTAGACTTAAAAGCATAATGGCATCACAAAGCAAATTCCTTCCTCTTACTAAATTTAAATATAAATATAAACCATTTTCCAAAATGTATTGTTTGAAGATGTATCAAAGATGTACGTTGTAGGATGTAAGATTTCTTTTGTGGGTTCTAAAGAAAATATTAAAAGGAAAATGGCAAAAATATTTTAAGAGGTGACATTAAAAAGTAGCATATATGAAGGGGCTTCAATACATTTGTGGAAAAATCAGGTCATCTTTTAATTCTCTTTTTCACGAACATCTGGCCTGCCTTGTATAGAGCTTTTCAATGTGAGTGTTAAAAGAACTCAAGCAGCCTTGGTGACACTAGATAAAGCAGTGGATTGCTAACCACAGGTTGGTGGTTCAAAACCATGAGCTCATGAGTTTTGTGTTTCAATTAAGGTTTACAGCCTTGGAAACCCTGTGGATCATTTCTAGTCTGCTCTATAGGGTCACTATGAATCAAAATAGACTAGACAGCATTGTCTGCTAAAAGACTCATTATTGTACTAGCATTTTAAACTTGCTCTGTTATTTAAATGTGCATAATTTTTCATATAATGTGGCACCTCTTCAAAGAGTGAAATTGTCATTTGATAGACATTATTGGCAAAAATGAGACTTTGTAGTTAAAAGAGCTATATAATTTTCATGAGAAGATAGTAATTAATATGACTGAATTTATGTGGTCAGACCTCTTAAATCACTTTCAATGGACTTGCTTTGCTAAACAAATTCCTCCTACAAAATCTCTCAAGTTCTTGATTTCTGTTTAGTCAAGGTGGAAGAGCGCCTTCATATGACCAATCAGACTATGGTCAACAAGATTCATATGATCAGCAGTCAGGTTATGATCAACATCAAGGCTCATATGATGAACAGTCAAATTATGATCAGCAGCATGATTCCTATAATCAAAATCAGCAGTCCTATCATTCGCAAAGGGAAAATTACAGTCACCACACACAAGGTAAAATATACTTCTTTTATACCTCCCCTTTCATAGGACGGTTATGTTTTCTATTAAAATGTTCACACAAGAACTTTATAAAAAAATATATAAAAGTTTCGTAAAAATGTAAGGTGGCATTGAACCTCTTTTTTCTCTTTTATGGCCATTAAAATTAGCTTATTGATACATTTTTATTTCTGGATTTTATAGAGGCTCCTAAGTGGTCTGTAACATTTTGATGGCTAACTGTGAACTAAATGTCTCAATGAGCTCAAAGCATTTGACAGTGCAGCTGTTACCAGTTCCTTTTATTGGCAGTAGTGTATTAGGTTTGGGGTGATACTGATCTTTATTATATTAGCCTTATTTAACCTTACCTAACAAGGGCAAGCCATTCTTCTCTTTTGTTTTCTCATTGTACAATTATCTGTACTTAAAAGCAAGGATTTTGTTTTATTCTTTTTGTACCTTCAGTGCCAAGCATATGACTTGGTACATAGTAAATGTTCAGTAGATTCTTAATGAATAATTGATCATACATTCAACAACTATCTCCTTGAATTTTGAAAATTCAGTTACCCTGACCAATTTTGGCTTAGATTTAAATGCTTGGAGATAAAGAAATAAGAACTTAATGCTTAAAGTTTATTAAAATAATATTTTAGTTCAGATTATTCCAAATTATTATTTTGCAATCTGTCTTTAGCAGAGGGGAATATGACACAGGTAGTTTTATGAAACTTGCATTTGAGTTTTGTGCACATGTGGCATTTCTTAAAGAATATATTGTGTCACTTAAAGAGCCATTTAAGCTTGTTCCATCAAGCTTTTGTCAGACATGGCAATGCTTGTTTACTAATGTATGTATTTTTATTTTTGTAGATGACCGTCGTGATCTGAGTAGGTATGGAGAAGATAATAGAGGATATGGCGGGTCACAGGGAGGAGGTAGAGGGCGTGGGGGATATGACAAGGATGGAAGAGGTCCTATGACAGGATCAAGGTAAGCATTTACGTGTAAATACCTACATTTCTTTCTCTCTTGTTTTTACTTTGTTAACTTAGTTGGTTTGATCCCAGCATCTAATTTAAAGAGACTTTTAAAAAAGAAATTGATTGTGTTATAGACAAGAGAATAGATTCAAAATTTATTGTCAGTCTTAAGATGCCACATAAATTACCCTAGAATAGGCTATGTCAGTAGTTAATCAGTGTGGAGTGTCTTAAACACCAGTAGAATAAAGTCTCATACTATAGTTGGGGTTAAACCACTTGACTATGTCTTTCTGGCCAAAGTTAGAATCTAAACTCCTTTAAATGATGACTTTGAGAAATCCAAGTTTTTTTGTATGTTAAGAAATAGCAGGTAAGTGAATTCCCAATGGAAAGAGAGGCTGTCCCGAGTTGTGAATCCCCTTGGGAAGGGAAAGTCTGTGGTAGGCAATAGCAGAGTATGAAGGTAGGCTTGGGAAATTAAAGATTAAACGTAAGAAAACTATTTTGTCCTCCTTCTTAAGTTAGTATAGTGCAGCATCACCTACTGTTGTGTATTTTGTCTAAACTGTTGGAAGGTAAAAAGGCCTTTGATTCAGCTTTTTTCCTCTTTCCATTGTTATTATAAGTATTTAGAGTATGTATTTTGAAAAGGATTTTAAAATTACTTAAAAAGTATATCTGTAAATGTATCACTTTGGCTCTAAAGAGAAAAATGAAAATGAAAAAGTAATTGATATTCAGTGTCCTAAGATGAGGTTTCCAGGTTGTAAATTTGTGTGTAAAATACGCAGCCTTGAAGATACTTATGTTCCTTGGGAATAGACATTGTGTGTGTCTCGTTAACTAATATTTGTACCAACCAGTTCACTCTTTTGCTCCTAGACACTGAATGTGTCTCTTGGGTGATCTGAGAAATAAAGCCAGTTACATACAGCACTGTTGTTTCTTAAGGGAGCCAGTAATTTGATTTCACCAACTTGCATTTTTGTTGAGCATAAAGTATTTAGTGTATACTGATATTGTGTGTATAGACTAAAGTCTAAACCTACTTAATATATTTTGTAACACTTGGACATGAAGTCTTTTGACTCATAAGTAAAGTTTATTTATTACGGTAAAAAAATAATAGCCTTTTCGTTATTAAAGAACAGTTTCCCATCAAATGGATGTGAGTGAAATGAGCAATGTAAAATGCCATGGTGCTTAACCCTATGTCCTTCCTATTCCTTCCCCTGAAGCCCCAGACTAGTCTATTACTTGTCTATAAGTTGTCCCGTTAGTGAGTTTTATATAATTGTTTAGAACTTTGGAATGGTATATGTTTTATAGTTTGTTATGAATTTAATTTTTAAACAAGAAAGTTGTATCCAAATAGATTATCTATTAAACTATGTCATTGCCTTCTGTTAATGGTGGGATCTTAATTCTCGGAAAGGGTGGAAAAGGGTAGAGAAGTCTTCAAAAATAAATTTTATCTGCTCTTCTTAGAGTTGGGGAGCTGACAAGGCCCTTCTGGGCTGACCTCTATGTCTTGATTTTAACTATCTTAGAAGAGCTCTTCAGAAGCCACTATTTTGATTGAACCTTGCTCTTTGGATTGCATTGTTAAGCCTAAGATTCATGAGCCTCTGTCTTGCTCAGAAGACTGCCGTATATACTCGTGTATAAGCCGGGTTTTTCTAGCACATTTTCTAATTTCTAGCAGTATGTACCTCAGCTGATAGTTGGGTCAGCTTATACTCTAGTATATATGGTAACTGAAAAAATGAGCTAGAGCTAGCTGGTCTTTGTGCAACCACTTTGGCACCTGCTGAGCCAAAAGCTTGAGACTAGGTGTGTGTAAAATTGAAAATGCCGAGCCTTGTCAGTAGCTGTTGAAGCAGTGGTCATTCTGTGGTCTTCTTCCACTTGGTTTCTGGTGTTAGTCATGCTTCCTAAATTTCTAGAGGTTGATGGTCTTCCCTCTCGGCTCACCTTTGAAGTTTTTCCAACCTCCCTTAAAATGTGATGAGTTGTATGAGCCCCTAATAAAACGATTAAAAAATAATAATAAAAAAAAAGAACCTGAAAAAAAAAAAAGTTTGATCCGTCCAAAAACTTTTATGTGTGGGCCAGCAGTCCCGTAAACTTGTTGCAAAAACTCTATGAATTGAGAAGATGTCCATTTGAGTTTTGTTAAAAATTTGATAATAGCTCTGATCTCAAAATCGTTTCCTTGGCACAAAAAGTATAATATAGTGAGACTCAAATATATTACTGAACATGTCTGTAGCTCTCTAGTAACCACAGGGTCATGTTTGTTTTGAATAAGCTCGTGCACATAGGAACTAGAACTCCAATAACAATACTTTTTTATTTATATAATGTAAATCACATGTATTATAAAATTTTCTAATAGCCACAATTGAATTAAATTTTAAACTAGTAAAGCTAATTCTAATCTCTTATTTAACTTTATCCAGCTAAGATATTTCAATTTATAATCAATATAAAAATGAGATTTTTTTTTTTAATTAAAAAAAAAATTAAAAACATTCTTGTATTTTGTTTCCTTTTAAACTAATACCTACAATCTGGTTTGTTTTCCAAATTTACAGTACATCCTAATTTTGACTAGCTGCATATCAAATATTCATTAGGGATATATGGCTAGTGGGTACTGTATTGGACAGTGCAGTTCTAGAACGATAGAATCTTGGCTTCCTAAAACGTTGGTAAATGTTGACTTTAGAACAACATTGTGCCACATATACATGCTATGAGAAAAAAGAAAACATAAGTACACCTGCTGTTGGGGATGGCATTTGAATCCAGTGAGTCATTTACCTTTGGATTAATAGTGGTCTTTTCCTCACATCCCAATAATTATTATCTAGATTTGCTAGTATGAAAACTCAACCCTGGCACATATAAAAAAATTAATCATAATTTTTAGATCAGATTTTTTTGTCTAGATAAGTTTTTTAGGAATAAAGATTCTAGCATTACCCTTTTCTTTCTTGGGGGCAGTTCTAATACTTGCACACATATTTTAAAATTTAGATGTAAAAGAATTAATGTTTGTCTTCAAATATGTAATGCTATAACAAAGAATTCATGAGCCTACCATAGGGTAGGCTGGCCTCAGTCAGTGGTTTTGAACTTGGAGAACTATCTTCCTGCTTGAATCAAATACATAACTGATTTTTTATGCAGGAGCACTCAGCCATAACGTTGAGTATGCCTGTTTTTGTCTCTTAAATTTTTTACTGTTCATCATAAAGTGTCTTTATATCAGGGCTTTTTTTCTGTTTATATACTTGCTTTTTTGGGGAATGAAAAATTTGTTAGTAGCAACATCGTGACTCATAGATGTTTCATTTTTTATTATCTTTGTCTTAATTTGCTAATGTGGTACTCAGTATTTGGAAAAAGAACTAACTTTGCAGGCATTGGAGGAAAGATTCTATAACTATAGCCTTTGTAAGAACTGCTGGGTTTTTAATAAAAAATGATTGGAATATTTGAACTTTTAAGAAAGCTTCACATAGAATTACAGATTATCCACACTACCGATTCACAAACTTGTGTATTAATTACTTGGGGGTTGTTAAAATACAGCTTTTGATCCTAGGGTTTGGATATTTCTGAGAAGTTCCCTGGGCGATGTCCACACTGTCCTTCCTTTTGAATAGCCAAGGATGTAGATATTTAAGAAGGAAATTTTCTTACTTAACTAGTGGTAAATAATATATGACTCTTGGTTTGAAGAACATTGTATTGTGTTGTTTCTATATTTTTCAGTCTACTGTGTTGCTTCCAGATTTATGACCATTTGTGTTGATATCTTCAGCGACTTTGTTTTCAACATAAATACTCAGTAAAGATGGCTTAAATTAAAATGGCATTATGTAGAGGACTAGGAAATTGTAAGCCTGTTTGCTTGTCATTTGTGTGTATATTTCTTTCTTCCAGAGGAGTATGCTGTTTTCTTTTGTTCAAAATTATATTTCTGGCCAACCGAAATTTTAGGAACTAGCTTGACGTAACAAATTACTTTTAAAAATTTTCCCTTCCTGTGGCCAGGTAAACAATTTGATACTCCATTAAAATGACATCGAAGGCATCTCTTCTTACACTTGTGAAAATAGTGACCTCAATTTTCTATTTAAAAAGTCTGTTCTGAGGACTGTAACTTCCTGACATAAGAACATGGCTTAAGATTTTTACTAGTTCTTTCCTTTTTCTCCTTGCTTTTTGAGTTCTAATGATCATGTTTGAAGAAGCCTGAGGTATTTTAGTGTCTATTAAGATTTCCAGCAGTTTGAGCTCAAGAAGCCTGTATTTCTTAAGGAGTTAAACATGTCATGTAGAAGTTCAGGGAGGATTTGAATACTCATTCAGGAATGCTCCAGCAGGAGGCCCTGGTGGTGTAGTGGTTCACATTAGGCTGCGATCCACAAGGCTAACCGTTCGAAAGGACCAGCTGCTCAGGAGAAACGACTGGATAAACTACTTCTGTAAAGAGTTGCAATCTCAGAAACTCACAGGGACAGTTAGATCCTCCCTGTTCTGTAGGGTTTCTCAGTCAGTGTTGAGTTTGAGTTTTGGGGTACTCTTACAAAAGGGATCTTAGAGACTTAATAAGAAAGCTATGTAAATAAAGCTGTATGTGGGTGTGTTTCACAGTCTAGGCAGCCATGGAACAGCCTTATTCTCCTGCCTTCTACAAATTAGAAAAGCAGTTAGAATGTATGCTTAAGGTGATTGCAAGGGAAAACAAAACTTTGGCATCAGAGTAGTAGACTAAATTTACAAAAAGAAAATGCTTTTTTACAGAAGAATGATTGTTTTTTTCCTCCCCTCAGATTAGTTCAGAAAAGCTACCTAGAATATAGTGTGATTACAAAAGCAGAAATTTTTGTTTCTTTGGTTGTAGAAGATTAGTAGTACTCTGTTTCCCTGAAAATAAGACAGTGTCTTATATTAATTTTTGCTCCCAAAGATGGGCTAGGTCTTATTTTCAGGGGATGTCTTATTTTTCCATGAAGAAGAATATGGTACACATTTATTGTTTTATTAAAAGAAAATGCGCACTTCCTGTCTGCTCCGGCTGTGCTGCAGCCAACAGTGAGCTGTGCTGCTATGGTCCAGAGGTAGCTTTGGGGGCCTTATTTCTGGGGGATGCCTTATATTTCAGCGAGAGGCAAAACTAAGTAGGTGTTATTTTCGGGGGATGTCTGTCTTTCGGGGAAACAGGGTAGCAGATTAGATCTTTGTTCCCTTGTCACCTCTTGGTTTGAATCTTGGAGGAATTACCTACGTCATTCCAAAGAAACCAGTTTTTAATTAATGACTACTTAAAGAGAAACCGTAGCATTTTGCTTAAAGTTATGCATTATGAGCATTATTGACTATTTGGCAGTGATTGATTTGCCAAATCAAGTCATTGTCTTGTGGGGAATGGTGATATTATAGTACGTTGTGTTTTCTGTTGCTTTCTATAAACTTCAGTAGTTCTATGTGAGGAGATGTATTTTACAGTGGATATGGAGTAGGGTGAGAATAAGGAAGACCAAAGAAGAATTGATGCATTTGCATTAAGGTGTTTGCAAAGAATCTTGACTAATGCATGGACTATCAGAAGAAAGAACATCTCTGTTGGAAGAAATCCAACTAGAAAGCTCGCTTGAATCAAGGGTGCTGCGACTTCATCGTGCATACGTTGGCTACGCTATCCGGCGGACTAGTCCTGGAGAAGAGCATCATGTTTGGTAAAGGAAGGAGGGGCCAGCAAAAAGAGGAGGACCCTCAGCAGGATGAATCGACACCGGGGCTGCAGTGGCTAGCAGAGCACCGATGTGAAGACGATGCGGAACCCCACGGGGTTTAGTTTGTTGTACATGGGTCCCTGTGATTTGGGAGTGGCTTGACGGCATCTCACAACATGTAGGAGGGAATTTATAATGGTACTCTCTTTGAGTCCTCATTTTGTCAGATTGCTGAGTGATTGGAAATTTTAGGAATTTTTCATTCAGGTTTACCTTTGTATCTATTTGTTCCTCACTTTTTCTTTCATCTCATAAAACCCACTATTTGATATCACAGTAGAATGTAATACTCAAATTTTTACCTCTCCCATTCTGTTACCAGAATCTTTATATTATTCTTCTTTTAAAAAATATTTAACAAATATCTTGTTGGAAACAATATTTGATCTGGTTTAGCTTATATCCAGTTTAATATGGTTTGAGTAGTATCCCTTTGACTTGGGGTTGGGAATATTTTAAAATAGGAGTATATTAGCTATATATGTAGTGAGCTTAAAAAGGTACCCATGCAGAAATAGATCCTGGGCAATACTCTTAAAGGGAAACAACATTTTGAAGTCTATGAAATGGAACTTACTGGAAAGTTAGAGGTGCTACTGTTTTCCTAGGCTCTCTACTTGTGACAGTTAAGTGTAGATTGAGCCCAGGGCTCAGCACATTAGAGACTTAAGGAAGAAATCATTTCTTCAATTTTTCCTCTGCAGTGGTGGTGACCGCGGTGGCTTCAAAAATTTTGGTGGTAAGTGCTGAGTATCCCAAAATGTTTCAGTGGAAATGCTATATAAATCTAAGAGCCACCAATATCCCGCAGACGCAGTCTAAGCCCTTTCTTACTCTGTTGAGGCTGGTGTGTGTTGTGTGCTTTTAAAAATTAAATATATATACATATTTATCAAAGTAAACATTAAAAAGGCAAAGTCGATCTCTTAAAACAGTCCAATGGGTTTCTGAAACCGTGAATTTGCATGAAAGAGTCTGTGGTGACCAATGAGACCTTCACTGGATTTTGACACAATGTTTTTGTATAAAGGTGGTTGACATGGTGTTCGTAAATTAGTAGGGTTTTCCAAACAGCCTTCACAAACAGAACTTAAAGTGTTACTAGCATAATGCCAGAGTGGCGGGTGCTGTCTGGGACAAGTTTAAAGAAATGTTGAAATTCATCTTATTTCTTAAGCTTTTAATAAACAGTATATACTTTTTGTAAATCTGTGATGATTGACCTTCAAGGATTTTGGAAGTATTGACTTTCATGCTTTGGTTGTTATTGCTTTTTTTCTAATGCTTTCAAATGAGTGCCCTTAAATAGCTTATTTCCTCCTTTCTTTTTCCCCTAGGTCACAGGGATTATGGTCCCAGACCAGATGCTGGTAAGGCTTATAGAAATTTTATGACTTTTGCACTTAAGAGAATGTTAGTTGTGGTTGCATTTTTTGGAAGGGAAAAGTGTGTTTGGTGGAATCCGCACAGGAGGAGTTAATTTGACAGTGGCGCCAGAACCCAGGGAACGTCATTTTACAGACACCAGCAATCAAAATTCAGGGGGATTCATGAGATAATTGCTCTTTGTGTTTTCCCATTCCACCTTTTCCTTTTTGAAGAAATGCTTGATTTTTTTGCTGCTAATTAGCATTAATCATTTAATTGCAACACATCAGATTTAATGAGAGTATTTTTATTGTTAGGAATTTTTATTGTTAGAAAAGTTGTGTCGAGCAAGTGTTCCACTGATTGGTAGTCTCTTAGTGGGTCAGAGAAGCCAGAGTTCATACCTCAGAGAACATATTTATTCTCAGCACAGGTCACTGATTTCATGTGGCTTTTTACTTTTATGTGAAGCCAGGGCCTTAAATTTACTCAAGGAGCCTTTTTAAAGTTAATATGATTTAGAGGTTAAAAATCTTATGAGTCAAAAAAATTTAATATATATTGAAATCAGCACTTTTGTTTTTATTAAGATGCCAAAGTATTCTATATGGATGGCAATTTCTGAATTATCCCTTGATGGACTGAATTTTTATACATCTTTCTTACTTTGTTGTACTAATCCAAAAGTGTGCGTGTAAGGTAAGGTGTGTGTACAAGGTGCTCCTACCCTCTGGTATATACAAAGCTTATTTCAATGAACGAGAAACCAGCAATTTTGCTTGTCTTGCTTGAAAGTCCAAATTATTAGACTTGCAATTTTTGCTAGAGAGCCTTAAAAGTACTGATTAGCCATAGAGAATTAAAGCTCTCCAGAGAAAATAATACTAATTTTATACTAACTCTTCATCTCTTCATGAGCCTTAGGTCCTGTATCTGATCTGAAGAGTGAGATGTATAAGCTCTCTTTCATTGGTTTGTGTATTTCACACAGTGGTGGACTGGATCCACTTTACCCAAAGTTTAGCTGTAAGAACTGATTTACTACCAAATAATTGTTGACTACTTTGCATGTCTTTATAAGGTTCTTATATTGGTTTTCTATTCCTTTTGATTATGGAAACAGTTGAGTATCATACGCTGAATCATTGTTCTTGATTACGGAATAGGATGTAGTAAAACCAAGGAATATGTAAAATTAACCCTAACTTTTTTCCTTTTAGATTCAGAATCTGATAATTCAGATAACAACACAATCTTTGTGCAAGGACTTGGGGAGGGTGTATCTACTGATCAAGTGGGGGAGTTCTTTAAGCAAATAGGAATTATCAAGGTAAGAGTATGGCTTTTGTGGAAAAGCTCATAATTATTGTCATATTCTTGTTAAAATACGTAGATTACATAATAAGCCTGTATTATAATATGGAAGACTAGTCTCAAAATTGCTTAATGTACATGGTTACCCATGTCAATAGACCGTGTTAATTTGCTAACAAACTTTCCCCGTGCTTTTGCTTACTTGTCTATAGCCTTCTTACACTGTAGTTTTCCATCCTAGATCCTAAATATAGTCTTTGCCCATCTGCTAGAACTGTGCAAAAGCAAATGAAGTTATAAGTGTAATTTGTGCCAAACCATATGCATAAACTCAGATTGTTACTACAAACCTTTTTTGGTGGGTGGGTGTGTGGGGATATTTAAAAATTACACTATGCTACATATTAGCATAATACATGTTTTATTTCCTAATGTTTTTTTGGGGGGGGTCACTTATGCGAATGGAAGAAATGATGAAGTCAAAGAGCTGTGTAGGAAATTCCAGTACGCAGCTTGAGAAAACAAAAGTTTTATATTGAAGTGTACAAAGACCTAGTGTTAGAAAGCAAAGAGAAATAATATACTCAGCCGCTCAGCATATCTCATAGTGAAAGAGCAGACAAAATTCAGGCCTTGGTTGTAATATTAAAGGATTCTATGAGGGGTATCGGGGAGGAGATGAGCCAGTCAGGGTGCGATGTAACAATGATGAGAAATACAACTTTCCTCTAGTTCCTAAATGTTTCCTCCCCGATCCCACTACCATGACTCGAATTCGATCTTGCAATTCTGGCTAGACCAGAGGAGGTACACTGGTACAGATAGGAACTGAAAATACAGGGAATCCAGGACGGATGAGCCCTATAGGACCAGTGGTGTGAGTGGCAAAACAGGGAGGGTAAAGGGAGAATGGGTAGGAAAGAGGGAACCGATTACATGGAACTGTGTGTGACCTCCTCCCTGGGGGACAGACAACCGAAAAGTGAATGAAGGGAGACGTCGGACAGGGCAAAATATGACAAAATACCCATTTATAAACTATCAAGGGCTCATGAGGGAGGGGGGAGCGGGGAGGGAGGGGAAAAATGAGGACCTAATGTCGGGGGTTTAAATGGAGAGAAAATGTTTTGAGAAACGATGTACAAATGCGCTTTACACAATTGATGTGTGTATGGATTGGGATAACAGTTGTATGAGCCCCTAATAAAATGTTAAAAAAGAAAAAAAAAATACAGAAAAGAAGGAAAAAATAAATAAATAAAGGATTCTATGGGTTAAATATTGAATGATGCTGGAAGCTTTAAATGACAATGGAAGAAAAAAAACAATGGAAGAAATATATTCAGGCCATTGTAGCAAAAAAACTGACATTCAACCATTTCACGTAGCATACTGTTGAGCACTGATGGTACTGAAGGAAGAAGCCCAAGCTGCACTGATGACATTTGTCAAAAACAAACATAAAACCAAGGCTCCAGGTATTGATGGAACACCACTCGAAGTGTTATAGCATCTAGTGAAGCACTCATCTATGCCAAGAAATACAGAGCACACCTACCTGGCCAATGACTGGAACGATCCCTATTTGTCGCTTCCAAAGATAATATGACAAGTTATTAAAAATATCACAAACAAGTAAACTTTTGCTTATGACCATTCAACACTGGTTGTAGCAGTACACTGACTCTTTGAGGTCTGCCATTCATTTCAGCCAGAGTCAGAAGAGGATATGGATGGAACAAGGGAACATTGCTGGTGTCAAATGGATCTTGGCTGAAAGCAGAATAATAGAAAAATGTTTACGTGTGTTTTATCCACTGTGCAAAAGCATTTGATTCTCGATCAGAACTATGGAGAATATTAAAAGAATGGAAGTCTAGAACACCTTGTGCACATGCAGAATGTGTACATGGAACAAGAAGCAGTTTTATGAGCGGAACAAGGGAATACTGCATAGTTTAAAAATCAGGAAAAGTGCGTTAGGGTTCTATCCGTTCACCATAGTCATTCAACCTATACAGAGCAAATAATCTAAGAAACTGGATTATATGAGGAACACGTCATCAGGATTGGAGGAAGGTTTATCAACAACCTGTGTTGTGCAGATGACCCAACCTTGGCTTGTTGAAAGTGATAACAGTATTGAAGCACTTGCTGATGCAGATCAAGGACTACAGCCTTTAATATGAATTGTAAGTCAATGTAAAGAAAACAGTTCCTCACACCTGGACCAATAGATAATATCGTAATAAATGGAGAAAAGATTGAAGTTGTCAATGATTTCATTTTACTGCGTCAACAGTCAGTTCTTATGTGAACATCCATCAAGAAATCAAACAAGGTACTGTATTGGGCCGGTATGTTGTACAAGATCTCATTAAAGTATTGAGTCGTAATGATGTCACTTTGAAGACTAAGGTACACCTGACTTAAACCGTGGTAGTTTTTCTGTTGGGGTAGCAATATTTTTTTGTTCACCATCAAATGTGTGCCCACACCCCCCACAGTTTTATTGACATATAATTCACATATGCACATCAATTTTGGCTTCGTAGACTGAATTTGGGGAGTTTGCCGTCTCTTTGTGTATTTTGGAAACATACAATTAATTAGTTCAGTCATATCAAGAAGAGCTGTACAAGCATCACCACGGTCAATTTTAAAAGATTTTCTTTATTCTTATACTCATTATTATTAACCCTCAAGTTTCCCTGCCATATCCCCAAGGAACCATGAATCTAGATTATGTAGCATGAGTTTCATATACAGAAAAGACGAAGACCACAGAAGAATCAATCCATTCATTTAAATTGGGAGTGTAGGTGAAGAATGTTCAAATTACTGGAAGTGCTAGAAGAACATAAAAATTTGTCTTGGTAGAAGTACAGCCAGAATCCCTCTTAGAAGCAAGCAAATCGAGACTGTCTTAACAAACCTGGAATTGGATGTTAGTCAGGATGTTAGTCCCTGGGAAAGGACAGCGAGGTTGGTAAAGTAGGTCAGTGAAAAAGATAAATAGTGTCAAGGACAAGGACATGGATGGACGGTGGCTACAACAATAGGCTCAGACATAATGGTGATTGTGAGGTTGGCACAGGACTGGGCAGTGCTCTCTTCTGTTGTACTCAGTTGCTCTCAATTGGAACCAGTTTGATGGCACCTCACAATAACACTGTCTTGTACACGATTAGTCTCAGATATGTATACATTTTCAGCTCTTCCTTAGAAAGTATCAGAGCAGGATTAGTAGATTGTAGGAGTTGTCAAATCAGATTGCAATTTTCCTTGTTTCGGTGTCTGTGCTATTTATTATTTTTCTTTCTTGAGTTATAATGTCTTAAAATATCAATTACATAAGAAATAATATAAAAGTTCACACAGTTCTTTTAGTAAAAATTCTCCCTTGTCTTCTACTCCCATCCCAGCCAAATTCCAGTGTCTCTTTAGTGGTTACTTGTTGGTTTGCTTATTAGTAATGATGTCGTTTACAGGATAGATGGTTATATGAAGCATTTTTTTAAAAGTATTTAAAAAAAATCGTGTGTGTGTGTGTGTGTGTGTGTGTGTGTGTGTGTGTTTAAATGGTACACAGGTAAGACAGTCACTATGTATTATCTTTATAGCTGGGGCTTTCACTTTATATAGCTTGGGGAATTTTCCTTGTCAGCCCCTATAGATTATTTTTATATTAGGGGCATAATATTTTTATTACAAGTTATCTGAATGGTATATAATCATACACCTGTACAATGCTGTCTGACACCAACTTGTTTTTTCCTCAGACAAACAAGAAGACTGGCAAACCAATGATAAATCTTTACACAGACAAGGACACAGGGAAGCCAAAAGGGGAGGCCACGGTGTCATTTGATGACCCTCCTTCAGCGAAGGCAGCCATTGACTGGTTTGACGGTAGGCCTTATCGTGTAGTCTTCAAGATACAGTTCACTTAATAAGTTCTCGAGTGTTGGGGTCAGAGTATGTTCTGGACTCCAGTGCTTCTTCAAGTTACTCTGCCGTAATTCTGCTATATGTACAGGCCTAAGTTTTTCTTTTCTTTATTTTTTCTATTTTGTCTTTTTAGGCCTAAGTTTTTGTGTACCATTAGCAATTATTTGAACCCTAGAACACCCCCCCTCCCCAATATATCTGTTGTATGAGGATCTCAACATAGGTGTCGAGGATTGGCATGTTTGATTCTAGTCTTTTAAGATGTAGAAGAATTTTTTTCAAATATGAAGTTAATGCATTCTTAGAAGAAATAAGACTTAAGTTGAAGAAAGGGGTAAAGTATCCATAAGTCCTCTACTCGAGATAGCCACTGATAATATTTCATTAACTTTTCCGCCAGCCTTTAAAATGTATTTTTAATATGGTTTATACTTTATAAACACAATTTTGTTTTGTGCTTTTTTCTTTTTTTAATCATTTTATTGGGGGTTCGTACAGCTCATCACAATCCATACATACATCCATTGTGTCAAGCACATTTGTACATTTGTTGCCATCATCGTTCTCAAAACATTTGCTTTCTACTTGAGTCCTTGGTATCAGCTCCTCATTTTCCCCCTCCCCGCCACCCATGAACCCTTCATAATTTATAAATTATTTTGTTTTTCCATACACAGTCTAACGTCTCCCTTCACCCACTTTTCTGTTGTCCGTCCCCCAGGGAGGGGCTTATATGTAGATCCTTTAATCAGTTCTCCCATTCTACGCCACCCTCTCGGTATTGCCACTCTCACCACTGGTCCTGAGAGGTTTGTCTGTCCTGGATTCCCTGTGTTTCCATTTCCTATCTGTACCAGTGCACATGCTCTGGTCTAGCCAGATTTGTAAAGTAGAATTGAGATCATGATAGTGGCGGGAAGGAAATATTTAAGCACTAGAGGAAAGTTGTGTGTTTCATTGTTGCTACCCTGCACCCTGACTGGCTCGTCGTCTCCTGACTGCAACCCTTCTGTAAGGGGATGTCCAGTTGCCTACAGATGGACTTTTGGTCCCCACTCTGCACTCCCCCTCATTCACAATGATAGTTTTTTTTTGGATTTTGCCTGATACCTGATCCCTTCAACACCTTGTGATCACACAGGCTGGTGTGCTTCTTCCATGTGGGTTTTGTTGCTTTTGAGCTAGATGGTGGCTGCTTGTTTACCTTCAGGCCTTTAAGACCCCAGAAGCTATAGCTTTTGATAGCCGGGCACCATCAAGTTTCTTCACATTTGCTTATGCACCCGCTTTGTCTTCAGCAATTTTGTCGGGAAGGTGAGCATCATGGAATGTCAGTTTCATACAACAAAGTGTCCTTACATTGAGGGAGTACTTGAGTGGAGACTCAATGTCCATCTGTTACTTTAATACTAAACCTACAAATATATGTACATACATCTACTTCCCCATCATCATATATATTTAAACCTCTATAAATGCCCTTTGCCTCCTAGTTCTTTCCTCTATTTCCTTTTACTTTACTCTTGTCCCACTATCATGCTTGGCCTTCATTTGGGTTTCAGTAATTCCTTTCCTCTTGGTTACATTGCCCTTGATCAAGTCCTACCAGGCCTCTTAAACCCTCCCGGCTACTGATTTTGGATCATTTGCTGTTCCCTCTCCCTGGGGTTATTAACACCACTTCCTTTCCCTCACCTCCCTCTCTCCCATTTCCCCTCTGAACGTTCAGTCCCGTTGTTTTCTCCTCCAGATTGTTTATCCGGCCTATCTTATTTAGATAGACCTGTAGAGATAATAATATGCACAAAAATAAGGCAGAGCAAAACAAAGCAACAAAAGAAAACAACAACAAAAAACCAATGACAAAAAAAGAGAAAAGCCTGTAAATAGTTCAAGGTGTGTTTGTTGGCCTTTAGGAGTGTTTTCCAGTCAGATGTGGTGCCACACCTAGCCCCAGTCCATTTTTGGTACTCTTTGCTATGATTTTGTGCTTTTTTCACTAAACACTTTAATGCAGGCAATTCCAATGCTATTACATGTCATTTTTGTTATGCCCTAAAAATATTTTTATACTCTAATTTCATAATAACTAACACTATATTACAGCATATAGGCTAGGCAGGTTTCTAAGTGTTAGAGATGCTAACTCAGTCTTGACAGTAACCCCGAGTTGTGTGCCCTATTGATCCTCATTTTACTGATGATGAAACAGGCATAGAAAAGTTTCCAAGATTGTAAATAGCAGTCTGATTCGGAACTCAGGCTGTGTAGCTCCGCTGTCCCTAAAGTAAATAACTGCTGGATTGACAGGGTTTGTGGTTTCTTTCATGTAGAAGATTATTGTGCATGTATCTTCCTAAAACAATTAACAGTTGTTTACTTCTTCAGAGATGGGTAGTGATGCCCTATCTTCCTCCCCTGTTTTGTTTACTTTTTTGTACTAAGATTAAACCCCCTCACCTTGCTCTTGAAGACTGAGGTGTACTTTTCTGTTTCTGTCATCGTTTTTGTGAATCGTGAAATACTCCTTTTGCTCATAGAATGTTACATTATTGTGTCTCCAGGACTAGCCATTAGACATCTTTCAAGCCTGGAATTGAACCCTACTGTGGGGTCAACTTTTAGCCGAACAGTAAACAAGGTTATAAAGTGAACAGTTACCCCAGGGAGGTGCGGACTGTTTAGATCACTAAGCCATGTGAGGTGCAAACTCAGAAGGCAGGAAAGAACGCTGAGTGGAAATGGGGAACACAGGGAGGAAGTGGGAAGTGTGCTGTTACATTATGGGGATTGTAACTACTGTCATGAAATAAGATGAGTATAAATCGTTGAATGGAAAACTAATTTGCACAAATTCTCATCCAAACCACAGTAAGAAGTTAAAAAAAAAGTGTGGCGTTTGCCCACAGGTTATAAATAAATGAGCCTCTTAAACTTCATAGTTATTCCCAGCTCTTACAGTTTTTAGGGTACTCACCCATGAGTCTGGGAGAAAGAAGAGCTCTGTGCTCCCGTGAAGAGTGGTAGTCTTGGAAACTTACAGGGGCAATTCTACCCTGTCCTATAGGGTCACTGTGACCATTGGCACAGTGGGGGCAAGTTTGTTTCTGTTGTTGTTTATCCTTGAGTTGTTTCCTATGTCAAAGTGCTTGTCATTCCATCTGCATCATGAGATGTTGCCAGCCAAAGGCATTTAGGGTTTTGGTTAGGAGCTAATGCTCCTGGATTTGTAGTTATTTTACAAATACTTGTGCACCTTTTCCTTATACTAGTATGTCAATTCTCTTGTTTAATAAAGTGGAAATAATTCCTTTTGTTAATATCAGGGTATATATATCTGCATGTATTTAATTATATACATATTTCAGATACTTGCTTGATAAACAATTGAAATGGTATGAAGGATATAAAATGAATGAGTTTCCTTTCCACCTTTGGAGAGAAAAAGAAGCTTTGTTGTGGTTTAGGTGAAATTTTGTGGAGCAAATTTGTCTCCCTTTCAATCACTTATACAGATATTCTGTGACATTGGTTGTAATCCTAGCAATGTGCCAACACACTCCCCATTTCCACCTTGACTTTTTTCTGTTCACGTAGTTTTCCTTACTCTCCCTTCTTAACTTTACTTACGGGTTCTTTCTGCCTTTGACTGTCAAGGATTTCAGTTCCCCTCAGAAGTAAGTGTGGTGGCAGGCCTTATACAAACATTAATATGCAAAAGGACTTCAAAAAGGACTGTGGAAGGAAGCAAATTTTGATGGATGTGGGCCAGTCTTCCTTGCCTAGTCCTCAACTATTCTTGCTCTCCCTTATGAAAAATAAGTAAATAAATGAAGTTGTAGAAAAGTGGAATTAAAAGATAATGGAAGCTGTACGCATGCTGTCTTTGAAAAATAAGTGATAACATAGTACACGCAATATCCTTAGCTTTCATGTTGAAGAAAATACATAAGTCTAGGCAGAAGTGACTTTTCCAGGGAACTACCTGCTTTATTTGATAGAGGCCATGTTTGACACTGTTACTTTGACTCTTTGAGCACCAGCGTGTTTCGCATTTCTTTGAGGACATGTCAGTATGCCTTATTTCTTTGAAACTTAAAATTTCCAATATGGTTACAGTCTTATTGGGATGAAGGGGTGTGGAGTAGGAACTTCAGCAACATTTCTTCAAAATCATTTATTTTTTCTTAGGAAAAGAATTCCATGGCAATATCATTAAAGTATCCTTTGCCACCAGGAGACCTGAGTTCATGAGAGGTGGAGGAAGTGGAGGCGGACGGCGAGGTGAGACGTTTGTCACAGGGCTGCTTCAGTTTGAGTGCATGTCCTGCACTTGCTTGTGTGCAATTCTGTCCTATCCCCTGTTCTCTCTAGGTCTTTTTAAGTCTTCTATTGTCAGATGTTGGTGGGTACTGAATAGTAGATCAGGTATATGAGAAAGTATTGGAAAATGGTTCCAGAAGTTTATTTGGAAAGCTACATATGAACAGTTTGTTGTTCACCTGGAAATCAGGAGGCCATTGTTTAAATGATACCTACTTTCCTGCATTAGTCTGACCAGCTTGTAAATGCCCTAATCAGTTACTGCTATCTTGTTTATTTTTTTGTTTCTAGTTCCTCCAATTTGGGATATATCTTCTCATTTAACAGTTATCATATATTCACACACTGAGTAGATAGAATGAACTTTTGTTTTTAAAGTGCATTATTTGTACTTTAAACGGGCACCTTTTCTTCCATTTACTAAGTAAAGCCTCCTATCAAAGAATTACAAACTTTCACCACAAAGGGTTTTTAGGAGCTTCCCAATTATTGTTTGGTACTTTTTTCATTTGAGCTTTTCCTCTGCTTTCATATCTGCTGCTGATATTCCCACTTTTTCCACTTTCCCTACCCTTCCCAAGGCCGTGGAGGATATAGAGGTCGTGGAGGCTTTCAAGGAAGAGGAGGAGACCCTAAAAGTGGGGACTGGGTTTGCCCTAATCCGTAAGCATACCACTGACTTTGGTAGGAGCAGGGTGGGGATTGGGCTTGGAGGGGTGAAAGACTGGGTTCTGCATCTGTTGCAAACTCTAAGAGCATTCTTTTTCTTTTCTTTCTTAGGTCTTGTGGAAATATGAACTTTGCTCGAAGGAATTCCTGCAATCAGTGCAATGAGCCCAGGCCAGAGGACGCTCGCCCCTCCGGAGGAGGTGGGTTAGCTCTCTGAACAGTATCCACCTGGTGCTGGTCTGCTGACTGCACTCAGGAGGTTTTGCAATGTTTTGCGATGCTCATCGATTTGCATTTCTCCTTTGCAGATTTCCGGGGGAGAGGCTATGGTGGAGAGCGGGGCTACAGAGGTCGCGGGGGCAGAGGTGGAGACCGAGGCGGCTATGGCGGAGACAGAAGTGGTGGTGGTGGCTACGGAGGAGATAGAAGTGGGGGTGGCTATGGTGGGGACAGAAGTGGGGGAGGCTATGGTGGGGACAGAGGTGGTGGTTATGGTGGGGACAGAGGTGGAGGCTATGGAGGAGACCGAGGAGGCTATGGCGGGGACAGAGGAGGCGGTTATGGTGGAGACCATCGAGGCGGAGGTGGTTATGGCGGAGACAGAGGTGGCGGCTATGGAGGAGACCGAGGCGGCTATGGAGGAGACCGAGGCGGCTATGGTGGAGACAGAGGAGGCGGTTATGGTGGAGACAGAGGAGGCGGCTATGGAGGAGACAGAGGAGGCGGCTATGGTGGAGACCGAGGCGGCTATGGTGGAGACCGCAGTGGGGGGGGCTACGGAGGAGACCGCGGTGGTGGTGGCTATGGTGGAGACCGAAGTGGAGGCTATGGAGGAGACCGAGGTGGGGGCTATGGAGGAGACCGAGGAGGCTACGGAGGCAAAATGGGAGGAAGGTGAGGCTAATTTGGTAATTTTTTATCTTACTGCTCTTAGATTTTAGGGTCTGTGCCCTATTTGTCATGGTTATTTCTGTCTTACTCTTTGGAACTTGAATCCCATTGGCCTTAGTTAAGATGGAGAAGTTAGCAAACTTTTGTTTGAAAATTCTTATTAGTAAATATTTATATTTAAGTGTCTGTGTATGTATGATTTTCCCTCAAAGCTAGAGATATTTGAGATGAAATAACTTTATAAAACTATTTAAATCAGAGATTATTAATCAAAATGAGGGAAGAAGACATCTTTCATAGGGGTTCTCTATTAAATGACGTGTGCTATCCCATAGGTGTTTTTGGAGAGTGTAGTAGTACCTTTCCAGATAAAAATCACTGATGATACGGGTGTGTTGCGCACACGAACGACGTAGAGGCAGACAAGGTTGAAGAACCAACTTTTCTATAAAAGCGAAAAATGTAAAAGCACTTCAGTTATGAAAGTAAACATTGCATGCATTGTAGGGCAGTGAGAATTTGTATCGCATATGCTTAAGAGCATGGCATTGAGAGCTAGACTTTTCATCTCTGGCTCCGTAATAACGTAATAGCTGTGTGACTTTGGGCAAGTTACGTAATCCATCAGAGCATCAGTATTCTCATTTGAAAAATGAGGCCACTAATAATAGGAAAACCTTTGGAAGTTAAATTGCTATCCGTTTTGCTGGCCTGAAGTTAGCACTATATAATTGCTAGCTATTATTAATTACTAAATAGTCTACCATCTATTGAACACTTACTGTGTGGCAAATAATGTGTATATACGTTTAGTCTAGTATTCCTGTTAACTCCATGAGGTAGATGGGACTTCCCATATTATAGATTCATACATGCTAAATAATCTTTCCCAGGTTACATAGATAGTGGCAGATTCAGAATTTACACACACAAGTGTATTCTTGCTCATCCTGTTAGAATGGCCACCATCCTTTGACTTTCTGTAATACCTCAGTGGGTTGTCATTCTTATTCTAGGTGGAAAAGTGTTGAGTTAATGATAGTAATTTAAAACAGATCAGTTAGGCATGGGCTTCCCCTTACAGAAATTTATTGTCTAGTGGATGCCAACCATCAGGCATCCCAAAGAAAGGTCTAATGCTTCTTTGGTGGAAAAGTAGAATTTAGCTGGGCTCTTTATTTTTCATTCCTAGAAACGACTACAGAAATGATCAGCGCAATCGACCGTACTGATGACTGTTTTGAATGTCCCTTTGTCTCTGACATGATTCGTAGTGAAACTGCCAGAGTTTTGCCTGCTGCTTTCCTCGTGGCCTCTTGGGTAGTAAAATTAAGTGACATTTGGATTTTTATTTGGGTGGGAGGGTTGGGGCAGTTTTTCTTTTAGAAATGTCCATTGGAATTTCCTCTTAGTTTTAAATCTTTTCCTTCCCACTCCTTGAAAAAGCTGAGTGCATTGTAAAATATTGCCAAAATGGAACGTGTTTTGTAATACTGCAATAAAGGCTGCTTGTTTTTTGTGGACTTCCTAGATACATGAGTGCATTGTTCTGTCATACTCGGGACTCGGATAGTACAGACTCTAACCCTGAAGCATTAGGAAATGAGTCCAATAATGTGCCAATCCAGTAAATGAAACTGTTACTTTCGGCGTTATTTATTGAGCTCCTACTATGTTTAGATTATTCTGAAGAATTACTACAAATCAGAATCACTTGTTTGCTAACTGATGCATTCCTAGGGGTCACCTCAGGTGTGTGGAGTTAGAATCCTCGTGGGAGGTGGAGAGGCAGGGCTGATGAGACCTGTTATTTATGGCAAGCTGGCCAGGATATTGCAACAGCTTAGTAGCTTAGTACTGGTTTACATCGAGAGCCATTTATTCAGGTCATTGTCCTAGATGCTGAGAGAATGGAGGTCTAAGGGCTAGATAGGCAGGGTAAGGATTCCACAATTTAGGGTTAAGATAGTATTGTACTTCGTTTCATTAAAAAACTACATATCCTTTTCTTGTGGTTAAGGCACAAGACCAGATGCTGGTACATTACTGATAAAGTAAACAGATAATAAAATCGTTTGATACATGCTCCAATAAGGAGAAGTATAAGGTGCTCTGAGAGCACTTTTTCTAGTCACTTGGGATCACTGAGTCTTGAGGGAAGAATAGATAAGAATTCGCCAAGTAAAGGGGGCTGGGATAAGGAAATGGTGCTTGCAGCAGGAAAGGAATGACATGAATAGATCGAGAGTTGGGAGAGAGTAGGAAGCAGGCTCTGCACTTTAGGAAGACTGAGTAAAGGTACTGGAAAGAATAATTCAGAGGTTTACATGTAAGAGAGAAAAATGGAGAAGTGAGCAGGCATATGTGATTGCATCTCATTTTTACCCTCCCTCCAAATTCAGTAAACCAGTCGCCATTGAGTTAAGTTAATCCTGACTCATGGCAACCCCGTGTGCTTCAGAATAGAACTGCGCTCTTGCTGTAACGGCCTGTGGTGGTCTCCTAAAACGTTCTGTTACTCAACCCGGAAAACTTCCTCAAATTCACGCAAGTCAAGAGAGTCAAATCTTTAGGACCATTTTAAGAACACTTGTGAAACAGCCCAGGCCATTAAGGGTATGCATATCCAGAAAGCCACTAAGTACTTGAAGGATGTCACTTTGAAGAAGAAGTGTGCCCTTCCGACATTAATGGTGATATGAGAGGTGTACTGTACCCAGACCAAACAATGGGGTTGGGCCCAGGATCGATGGACCCAAAAGTGGAATTTTTGCTGCACATGCTTAAAAATGCAGAAACTAATGTTGAATTTAAGAATTTAGATTCCTCCTGACACAACCGCTGAAGCCAAAGCGGGTGAATTAGCAAATGTGGTGAAGAAAGCTGATGGTGCCCGGCTATCAAAAGATGTAGCGTCTGGGGTCTTAAAAGCTTGAAGGTAAACAAGCGGCCATCTAGCTCAGAAGCAACAAAGCCCACATGGAACAACATATCAGCCTGTGTGATCACGAGGTGTAGAACGGATCACTGAAGACAAATGGGTGCATAAGCAAATGTGGCGAAGAAAGCTGATGGTGCCCGGCTATCAAAAAGTATAGCGTCTGGGGTCTTAAAGGCTTGAAGGTAATCAAGTGGCCATCAAGCTTAGAAGCAACAAAGCCCACATGGAAGATGCACACCAGCCTATGCAACCACGAGGCATCGAAGGGATCAGTTATAAGGCATCAGAACAAAAAATCTTACCATAGTGAATAGTGGGAGTGCGGAGTGGAGATCCAAAGCCCATTAGTAGGCCACTGGGATCCCCTTGCAGAGGGGTCTTGGGGAGGAGATGAGCCAGTCAGGGTGCGATGTAACAACGATGAAAAATACAACTTTCCTCTAGTTCCTAAATGTTTCCTCCCCGCACCCACTACCATGACTCGAATTCGACCTTGCAAGTCTGGCTAGACCAGAGGATGTAAATTGGTACAGATAGGAACTGAAAATACAGGGAATCCAGGGCGCATGAGCCCTATAGGACCAGTGGTGTGAGTGGCGAAACAGGGAGGGTAGAGGGAGAGTGGGTAGGAAAGAGGGAACCGATTACAAGGAACTATATGTGACCTCCCTGGGGGATGGACAACAGAAAAGTGGGTGAAGGGAGATGTCGGACAGGGCAAGATATGACAAAATACCCATTTATAAACTATCAAGGGCTCATGAGGGAGGGGGGAGTGGGGAGGGAGGGGAAAAATGACAATGTCGGGGGTTTAAGTGGAGAGAAAATGTTTTGAGAACGATGTACAAATGCGCTTTACACAATTGATGTGTGTATGGATTGCGATAACAGTTGTATGAGCCCCTGATAAAATGTTTAAAAAAAAAAATTGAGATTCCCAGATCAATGAGCAAATCCCAGGAGAACAAAGCCCTGGACTTAGAGAACTTGCAGTCCGATCAACCCTTTCGTGAGCTCACCCTGCCACATTGAGGTGATCCTGATGGGAAAGGGACAACTTGTTCCTAAACCAGAGGAGCTTGCACAGAAGAAAAAGTTATCTCAGAAGAAACTGAAGAAGCAAAAACATGGCTCAGGAGTAAATTAAGTTTAATATTAATGAAAGTTAAAGAAAAAAACTCCCTAGGATTCAGTAACTCGTATTTCAGAAGCAGATTGTTGTTGCCTCTGTGAATTTGAACCACCAGCCTTTTGAGTCACTATAAGACTGTTAGCAGGGGAGAGGCCCTATCTGATTTGAGTGGCATGACGAAGATGCATGGTTCCTTTGTGGATAGTAAAATTGAGAGGCTGGACTGAATGGTAAGTCAGGTGAGATGACATTAGCCTGAGCTTAGATCCTCCCCCTCCCCCGGTAATCTCATTCAGACTATGGCTTTAAATACCATTTAGTCTCAGTGATGAGTACTACATCTTTATGCTTAGTCCCTGATCCTTATGTTTGGATTCTATCCAGCTGCCAATACCACTAAGTTGATTTTGGCTCGGAGTGACCCTGAATAGGGTTTCTGAAGCATGTCAATCTTTAGGGGGACAGATCGGCTCATCTTTCTGTTAGAAAGCTGTGGTGGCCCTGATGGGTAAGCCCTAGACTGCTAACTGTATAAGATTGATGGTTCAAACCCACCACTCACCCCAAGAGAGATGAGACTGCTCCTATAAAGATCCACCACCCCAATAGTTTAAATATATTTTTTAAAGTTGTACATCCTGTACAGATTGTTAGCCTCAGAAATCTTAGATACTTAGGTCACTGTGAGGATCAATTTGATGGCAATGGCTTTGGTTTGGGTTAGTAAGGAACCCTGGCAGCACTGTGGGTTAGGCATTGGGCCCGTAAGGTTGGCAGTTCAAAGTCACCAGCTGCTCCAAAGGAAAAAGATGAGGCCATCTGCTTCCATAAAGATTGAGCCTTGAGACTGCCACTCAGTCAAAATTGACTCAAATGACAGTGCATTTAAGGAGTCCTAGGGGTATGGTAGGAGGCCTGGTGGTATAGTGGGTTACTCATGGGGCTGGTAATTATAGTTAGCAGTTCAAAACCACCACTGGCTCCTCTAGAGAAAGATGAAGTTTTCTACTATAGAGATTTACAGCCTAGGAAACTCACAGGGCAATTCTACCCTTTCCTATAGTGTTGCTTTGAGTTGAAGTCAATGACTGTCTTAAGTTTTAACAATGTGAATTAGGTGTGTGTTGTTATTGGGAAGGTTGGTGGTTTGAATGCACCAGCTGCTCCAAGGAAGAAAGGTGAGGCAGGCAGTCTGCTTCTTTAAACACTACCAAGTGGTTGTACTCTCCTGTAGGGCTGCTGTGAGTCAGAATCAACTCGATGGTGTTTTGGGGGGTGAGTAGAACTTTTGATCCATCCTCTGCCACTTCACTTATTTTTCCCACCTCAATGTCTCCACCCTCCTAGATTTTAGTTAATTTTTCAATTTTCATTTATTGTGTAAGTTATGTGCCTTCCAGTGGGTTCTGACTCCTGGCAGCTGAACCATAGAATAAGCCACTGCCTGGGCCTTGTACCATCCCTACAATTACCATGTTCGAGCCCAAGTGTTAACAGAGCCCTGGGGTGCTGCTCAAAGGCCACCCCACCATAGGCTTCATTTCCCGATCTGCTTTCCCCCAGAACTACAGCCATCAGGAACAGAGGAAATACACCCAAGCTGCATGGTTCCACCCTGTTGGTTGGATTTACAAAGTCTATGGCTCAAAACCTCACCGCCTTGGAGTTGGTTCTGACTCCGCAACCCTGTAGGGCAGTAGAACTGCCCTTGTGGGTTTCTGAGACTGTCACTCTTTCAAGAGTAGAAAACCTCACGTGGAGCTGCTGTTAGATTAGCAGTCCAATGCATAACCCGCTATGCCAGCAGGGCTCCTTTTAAGGCTGTGGCTAGCAGAGCCAGATGAAGCACCAAGCGGCACTGCGCTGAGGAGTAAGTAGGATCCTTCAAAGAGAATGACGGGCAAGGAGAAAGGTGTGAGAAGAGGCTGGTCCTGCTTATAGCTTCATTAGTTCCTGACTACAGATACTGATTTGGCTGACAGGGTAGGGGTGGGGTTCAAGAACCAAGCTTCACAGGATTTTCTCCTAATTTTCCATCAGCAGCTCCGGATTCTCACCTCTACCTTGTCATACAATTCTGGGTCTAGACAACTTGAGTTAGGGTGGCTGGCTCTGGCCTTCCCTGTTTTCCTTGGTGAAAGGCCACGTGGTTGGGTGGAAAGATCACCCAGCTGGGAGCAAGGAGACTGGTGTTCAGCGATGTCCCTGCAGTGTGACAAGATGCAGGACACAGTTGAGGCAGTGATTCAGAGAAGTGGAGGTGGGGTGGGGCAGCACATTTATTCATGGAAAAAGGGTATGGATTGCTTTATCAGTGAAAGTTCGGCATGCAGATGTGATCTGTTTGGAGGTTTTAACAAGCTTCCGGGGTTGTCTCCTGAGCTGTGGCTCACAGGGCCCGTTAGCCTGTAGTAGATCTTTTACTGCTTTAGAGAAACGGGATGGGACAGCATCGGGGCTGATGGTGAAGTGTGGGTCAGACCTGCCGTGGGCCGTCAGCTCTGTCTGTTGGTCCATCTTGGTGCTGGACTGGGCAATAAAAAAAGGTCTCAGCTGCACAAGTTGGAAGTCTTGGATATTTAACTCCTCAGGGCTCTCGGGCTCTGTCCGGAACCTCCGTAGGCTCTGGTTTCACAGTGGTCGGAGGCTCCTCATGTACAAAGAGAACCTTGTTCTTCAGCCTTTTTCGGATCCAGGGGTTACTTGAGGCCAAAAGGATTAATGTCTTCTTTAGCTGCAGTGAATCAAAGGTGATGTATTGCAGGGTTAAGATGGAAGAGGAGGGGTCACCAGAAGAAAAGGAGTTCCCAGGGATGAGGCCAAGGGCCAGCTTCTGGGAGTTCATTCCCCACCTCCCTCATGGCGAGGAGCTAGTGGTGGGAGAGGAGGAAGAGGCCTGGCTTACATGATCTCTCAACTCCTGGCTCTTTTCTGCATCGAGCATGTCCAGGAGTAAGTGGTACACCCGTGGGCTGCGGACCCCCAGCACACCCTGGCAGGGGCAGGTGGAGAGACAGATTTCTGAAGGATGAGCTTAGAAGTGGTGGGGAGTCGGTGGGGTTCCACCCACTTCCTAGCCTCCTGAATGGAAGCTCAGGTTCATGTGTGTGCACTGGCCAGGGGCTCCCAATGAAAAGCATCGGCTTTTCCTGCTAACTTTTCGAAGCCGCCTTGCCATGTGCACGCACACCGGAAGAGTGCCTTAGCAGCCAGGAAGATGCCCTGCCCGTGCCTGGTCATTCCTGTCCCATGGCAGAGACCCTGCAGCCTGGAGACTCAGGAGAGCACCCACTGCCTCTCCCCATTCCCACAAGCGATCGCCTTCCTTGCCAGGCCTCTGCAGGGGCTCCTGTGCCCATGACTCACCAGGAAGAGTCAAGATCATTTCTGTAATGTCAACGGCAAGACACGCCACCCTCCCGCAACCCCCATCCCCTGCCTTTCATCCTATCCCCCACCCCCACCCTGACGGAAAGGTGACCAGGAACCCCGGGCAGGGTTGGCAACTAAGCTGAAAGCCCAGGTGCACACCCTCCCTCCACATCGCAGCCCTTGCTTTCCCCCAGAACTCTGCTCAGCTCTCCGCCCCCTGCCATCAGCCAGTCAGAGGAAGCACGCTGGGGCTCTTACCAAGGAGATGACCGCTTCCTGGCGTGCAGCGACACTTTGGCTCTTCAGTTGCCTGCGCGGAAGAGAGTGACTGCCGTCCAATTAAAGGCTGCATGGTGAGGCTGATTGCTACTTCTCACAAGCACAGTGGCAGTGAGGGGTGCTAATGTCACTCATTTCCCCCTTGTTTCTTGGGTCTGGAAAGGGACCCGGCGGAGGAGGCACTGAATGATAATCAGGACTCCCATCTGTCCGTTTACAAATCCTTTTCATGACCTGAATTTATAGCAACTGAGTGGAGGGTCTCATGAGCAACCTTTTTGGCAGACGAAGAAAAGCCCAGGGTTAAAAGGTCACTTGCCCAGGGACATAGGCAGCAGGCTCTCAGCACTCCCCAGCGCTCCTCCTTTCCCACAGCTGGGGGTTAGGCCCTGGCAGTTCCCAAACCCAGCCACTCACTCCTCCACCAAGTTCATCATCATAGGCTTCATCTTGAGCTGCTCTGCTGTCTCGGCCACAGTCTGCCTCATTGCCTGCAGGGGGAGCAAGCGCCATGGCAGAGTGAGAGAGTGCGTGGAAGTGTGTGTCCCAAACCTGTTTTGAAGACTTGGTGGCCATGTGGTCCCTTGCCTTGACTGGACTGGTGCTGATGGTGTGGGTGGGGAAACAGATCAGTACATAGCGTTAGTATTACAGCTGTGTTAGTATTACAGCTAAAGTAAGGGCAGGGGGAGCGATGGAGGGTCTTGTAACTCAGCTTTGGGAACCAGGGAGGCTTCCTGGAAAAGGTGATCCTACAGCTGCATCTTGAAGAGTGAGTGGCAGTTAACCAGGTGGAGAGCTTTAGGGGTGGGGGTGGGAGAAAGCATGAGCAAAAGTCTGGAGCTGAGAGGGCGCATAAAAGAAAACCTAACCTCCTCAACCAAACCCACTGCCAATGAGGTGATTCCGAGCCGACCGGTGGCGACCCTACCTAATGTTTCTGAGGCAATGGGTTTTTGCCCCCTAAAAACTTTTCCTTGTGAATTTGATGAGGGTTTACATTTCAGATCATTTTTATATTCAATTGAAACAACTTCTCAAACCTCCCAATGAGGCTGCAAATCTTCAGATTTCGCCTGCTCTGAACAGCAGTTTTTGAACTGCTGACCCTGCAGTGAGCTGTCCAACACTTCCTGACACCACCACCAGGGGGCGGAGAGGGACAAAATTGTGCAGCCAAACTCAAATCATTGCCATTGAATCAATTCTGACTCAGAACAATCTCCTACAGAGCAGAGTGGACCTGTCCCCACGGGGTTCCGAGACTAAATCATGGGAGCAGAAAGTGTCATGTTTATCCTGCAGAGTGGTAAATGGCCGACCTTGTGGTTCAAATGGCTGACCCTGTGGTTAGCAGGTCAATCCGTAAATTCAAGAAGAGGTGCCTGTCAGGACATAGCTGCCCTAAGCGTAAGGTGGTGAGCAGGTGTTAGGGAACCACTGAAAAGTTTCATGCAGAGCTGAGGCACATTCTGATTGAAGTTTCAGAAGAATGTCTCTGGCAGGGCTGTGACTGGTTCTGTAACAAGTTCTAGTAAAGGTCAAGGCTAAGGAACCAAGAGGAACCCCATTCTGATTGTGTCAATTTGAGAAGGCTTCCCAGAGGAGGTGGCATTTGGACAGGTCTCCAAGGAGCAATAGTATTTTAACGGGAGGAGAGAGGGTTACTAACAAGTAAGGGTGAAATCCTATGGGAGGTTTTTACCTTGCAGAGGAGGGAGGAGTGACTCCCATTTAATGTGGGCAGAAGCACCTGCATTAAGGCATGGGCTGCATCAGGAGAACAGGGACAGGCTTAGGGTGAATTGGTCCTGTGGGGTGGAGAGCCCAGCTGGGGAGGGAGAGGAGGCAGGTCTGGGACACTCACCAGGAAGGGTTCATTATATATCTTCTTCCTGAGCAGGTCGAATGTGAGTCTTTGCAGCCCCTGTGCCTGGATCTTTTCCAGCCCAATCATCCTGAGCATCTTGGTGGCTTCCATGCGGTGCTGAGGGCAGGGGTGGGACAGGGGTAGGCCCTTTCTTACTCCTCAACCCTGTCCGAGTGCTGGAAAAAGGAGGGCACGGGGCAGCCCCGCAGCTTACCTCCAGGACGCTGGAAGAACACAGCTGCTCCAGGATGGCCCTGATGACTTCGGCTGAGTGCACACGCAGCTTCCTGACCAACATCGTCAGGGCCTGTGGGGGCAGGCACGAGGGCAGACAGGGCCAAGAGAAGTGACTTGAGGGCTAAGCTTAGAGCAGGTGGGGGTCTTTCTCTTGCCTCTTGCCCTTTTGAGGGCGAGCACAGGCTCGGTGTGCACAGATGGGCACATACACAAAGGAGCATCCATATGTTTCAGATAAACACAGACACTCGTCCACACGACTTCATACTCCTGCTTGCTTATATGGACAAACAACGCGCTCCCCTTTGAAGCTCCCTTTCTGTGGGTGTGCATGGCAGCATCCGGACTTACTCAGGGCAGCACTGACCTCTGTTTACCCACCTTCATCCGCTGGGTCTTAGGTCCTTGGCCCAGGCACCGGAGCAGGAACTCCTGGACTTCCGTGTTGCAGGGCCTCAGGAAACCCAAGGACAGGGCTGCTTCCAGAGCTGCATCGGTGGGCAACCTTCTCATCAGCATCTGCAGCAGACACACCAGCTTCCCTTCATCCCCCACAGGAGTCCTCTGAAGGAAAGGCGGGAGGAGAAACGGGCGGGATGAGGGCTCTGGCCTCAGCCAGGCTTTGTACTCGACAAAAGGGCCATTCGCTTGCCTCTGAGCCTTTTCCTTCCTCCCGAAACGGAATCTTGTATCATTGTGTGATTCTATCCACCCCCCACCCCCACCCCTATTTTTGCTGACACCTACTGGCTCCTAAGCCACAACTCCTCGTTTCTCTGATTTCATCTCCTGTTATTCTTTAGGGACCCTGTTTTAATTCCAGGTATTTAAAATACACACACACACACACACACACACACGCACGAGAAATTGATTCAACACTTTTCAAATGACTGATTTCAGCCATTAATTTTCTTTTAACATTTTATTAGGGGCTCATACAACTGTTATCGCAATCCATACACATATCAATTGTGTAAAGCACATTTGTACATCATTCTCAAAACATTTTCTCTCCACTTAAACCCCCGACATTAGGTCCTCATTTTCCCCCTCCCTCCCCACTCCCCCCTCCCTCATGAGCCCTTGATAGTTTATAAATTGGTATTTTGTCATATCTTGCCCTGTCTGATGTCTCCCTTCACCCACTTTTCCATTGTCTGTCCGCCATTAATTTTCACAGAAAGAACTTCTAACTGCCACTTCTCCATAATCTCCATTTCACGGACCTTAGTTTTTGACCTTCACGGCCTATCTTTCCAGGTCACCTCCTGCAGAATCTAGAGGTCAACAATTGTTTGACAGCCCGAGGGCCCTGCCACCTTCCCACCGCTCCTCACCTTCGTTTCCTCTTCCTCTAGCTTCAGTTCCCAGGCCCTGCTAGGACCCCCCTTGCCTCACTCTCAGTTCCTTTACCCCTTCTTGCTTCATCGTTGTCCCCTTGACCAAACCACAATCTGGGTTACATCCAACTCTGTGACCAGACTCCGGGGTGTGGGGGGGTGGGGGTGGGGACACACACACATATACAGGCATGGCAATTGCTTTTGCTTTACATACTTGAGCACAAAGTTTCTGCAGACCCTCCCTGCTGCCGCCTGGCATTCATCCTGTGTGCCCCCGCCCCGAGCCAATCTCTGTCCCACTCCCTGTCCCACTCTTTCCTCTTGTCTCCCTTGGAGAGGCTCCCAAGGACAGTTGATGACCTTGTTTCTTCACCAAGAAAATAAAAGCAGCTAGGAAAGAAATCCCACAGACATCACCACCATCTCTATCAATATGAACAACTGCGTTCACATGAGCTTCTTTAGTGGTTGTCGTGGGCGCTCTGGCCACCTATCTAAGGCGAGTGTGCCCACGTGCACATCAGATCTCCCCCCTCTCAGTGACTCAGGACATTGCGACAGCAATGCTTCCCACTCTCTTTGCAATCATTGGTCTCTAACATCATAACATTAATTTTTTCACTTGTAGAGTCACTGCGGCTGCCAGTTGCTACCCATTCCAAGAAACCCCCCTTGAAAAGCTATCCATCCTTGAGGTCTCCAAATCTTGCCTCCTAGGTTGTTAAAGCCACTCCAAACATGCCTGCATCCCCAATACCCAGCGAACGTGACTCTTGCTAAGGCGATAAAAGATTTCCATGTTGTCGAACCCGCTTAGCACGGGTTAGCCCTTGTATTACAGTATTTGACACCGGTCATTCCTCTCTGGATATTTTCTTCACTGGATTTTCAGAATACCACATTCTTGGTTGCTTTCCTTCCTCCTGGGCCACTACACAGTATTTGCTGCCTTTAAAAAAATTTTTTAAACAATTTCATTGGCTGCGGGGAGGAGATGAGCCAGTCAGGGTGCAGTATAGCA